GATATAATTTATTTAATTCATTTTTATTATAATTTAATTTAAGTCAAATAGTCAAGTAATTTATTTTTGGCTTAACAATAAAATTTTATTAAAGATAATGGTTCTGTTAGAACTAGATAATTATCCTAATTATATTTTAGATTTTTTATATTTTAAAATGAGATGTTTATTCTCTATTTGATTATGTTTATCCGCAGTTAGTTACACGAATTCAAACATGGAGCTTTAATAAGTTGTACTTATGCATAATTTATTTGTAATCTTGAATTTTAAGTAATATGCATCAATATACAGTACTTCATGCATAAAAAATGGTTTTTAAGAGTTTTTGTCAAATGTTTTATAATATAGTATAGATAATAATTAAGTATTTAGTTAAAATTCAATGATTATCCTAATATGTTTTAGATTTTTTATATTTAAAATCATATATTTACCCTCTATTTGATTATGTTTATCTATAATTAGTTACACGGATTTAAACATAGAGCTTTAATCAATTGTATTTACGCATAATTTATTTGTAATCTTAAACTTTAAGTAATATGCATCAATAAACAATACTTAATGCATAAAAAATGGTTTTTAAGAGTTTTTGTCAAATGTTTTATAATACAGTAACTTTCGCTTTTCATTACAACTTATAAAATGCAACATTACCATCTACGTCCTACGTGTTACCGTTTTAAGGAGGCGGTGGTTCTTTCAAATTATTCTAATCTTACGATAATTTTTATAACTATTTCCGGGGTTACTTGTAATTAACTTTTAATATCAATCATCGATTCTCTGATTTTGGTCATGTGTAATGCATTATATATTATAAAACTACGTCATAAAATCGATCGTTCTTGATATACCCTTTAGAAAAATCAGATTCTTTTTTTTTTCAGTTTTAATTTCTATATATAAACCTGGTATGACTTTGATTATATTTAAAGGATGAAGTACCGAATATATATTAAGGCTTTGTTTGTTTTTCATAAAAAAAAAACTCTTATTAGCCACTTATGTCTGATTAGTTAAGAGACAAGATCATTCAGACTGTTTGTTTTTTTCAATTTTTCAGAGACACTTATGTCTTATTTTCCTCTTATCTGATAAGAGGTAGACCAACCTCTTATTTGCCTCTTATTGTTCTTCAAATCCTTAATAACGACGTTTCTCAATCGATTAACCTTAATCGATCATTTCTCTCAATCGATCCATACCAAATCAATCTTCACCGCTCTCAATTTATGTATTTTAATATGATATGTGTTAAACACCGTTAATGATATGTTTTTATTTAAATGAATGTTAATTATACAATTTAGGTGTAAGTTTCATAATGATGATGAATAAATACGTGAAACTGTATAAATTTATCTACAAAATTCAACATTATAATTTATAAAGGGGAAAATAAACAATTTAAACAAATTCAGATATTTATCAGTGTACAAAAACAAACAGTCTTATTAATTCAGATTTTAGACTTCAACACCACCTCTTATAAATCAAAAGTGAAATAAAACTTCAGACTTCAACACTTATTCAATACAAACGCCACCTAAATCAACAATAGAGATGACAAGATAACATAGATAGGCCGGAGGCATGTTCTATGCCTTAAATTTGCATCTTATATTCGACCCACCCGATTACCCGTCACATGTCACAAGATTATTGTTTATTTTATTTTTCTTTAAAAAAAATTATTGATTATAAATTATAAACTGAACTACAACATTGAATCATGTCGTTACACATAAAAACGAACATCATCCCTAAACTTGAATAAGTACAATTTGGAAGTGGTCAATCTGATCAACTTTGTTAACGGAAATTTTTAAGTGAATACGGTTTTCGTCTTTTTTCCTGTTTTTCTTTAAATTACAGAAAATCAAAATATTTTTTTCTCTCTTCTCCTTTTCCCGAAAATCCCGTAACTCCTCTATTTCCTCTTTCTTCCTGCAACTCTGGCGACTACTGGCTAGTGTACGTTAATATGTATACATAATTTAAGCATTAATCTGTTGTATACATATTTAAGCATGTGTACATCAATTTTATTTAATAAAGAAATTACAAAAAAGGGTAAAAAAACGGAAGCAAAATGCAAATTGTATTGACCATTATTGACTTATTGTACTTATTAAAGTTTGAGAACGTTGTTCGTTGCTTTTTGGAAACCATAGGAACCAAAATTGTAGTTATTCTTGTTAACCAAACGCATGGTCAAACATGATTAAATTCCATTCCAGTTCTTTCAGCTTCCAATTCCTTTGATGTATTTCAATTACTACAAATTCCATTATGTGAACCAAACGCCACCTAAAGATTATTCCCTCCAGTTTTGTGGTTAAAATGAGAGAAAGGGTGATTGAAAGTGTAATTCATGGTTATCACCAATCAACATGTCTTACCCTATTTTTTTGTATTATTTTTTTAATTTCTTTTGTCTTTTATCATTAGTGAAAATCCCACCTCCTACCCTCGCCCTTTTACCTTGGGCTCCCCCTCCTTATCCGATCAAACCTTGACCAAATTAGAATCAAACCCGCCTTCGTCAAGCCTCATCCCTGCTATTGTGATTCCATTTTATTTCACCGCAATCCCCACCACTTCAGGTGAAAGTTGCTGTCCATAGAGGAAATGAAATGGTGAGTTGGAGAGGCGTAAATGGAGGAGGAAGAGGTGGTTGGTGATGATAGGTTCTATCTATGGCCATCGGTGGTTCTTTGACATAAAAGAGACGTGTAGTAGATATGAGGATGACACTTTGATGTGGAGTAGGTCGGAGGTGAATGCGGTCGTTGCTTTATGTGTCGTCATGGTATCAGTGCATATGGTAGCTAAGAGAGGTGGACGAGCTAAGGGGAAGAGGGGTTCAAGTTTCTATGTGTGTGCATATATATATATGTATATATGTGTATAGATTATATTACTTTGAAAAAAAGAAAAAAAGAAATAGTGATAAAAAAACTTAAACACCCTTGAGTTAACAAAGTTAAATTCACCTCAACTAACAAAAACAAACTAAATGGACCAAAATCGAAACAAAATGGGAACCACATTGACAACCAATGTATTAAATGAAGTTCAGGGGTAAGACTTGCTCATCAGTGGAAACCATAGGACCCAAAACTGTAATTTACACAAGTGAGCATGAGGTTTAAAATAGTTACAAAAATTATCCTCAAGGTTTGAATAATTCGAAAGACCCCCCTTTTGATAATGGTAACATGTATGTCCTAAGGACTTATGTTGCATTTTGTAACTGATTATGAAAAGTGAGGATAAAATGAACTACTACACTGATATGGAGAAAATTTTATAAAATTTATTCTTTATACAACAATATCAGTGCCTAATGTTTTTTTTTTTTATTAATCTGGATATCCAACCCGCTATGCGAACCGACTAATCCCAGGGCGACTATCTGCTTTGCAGATAGTCCGGAGTCACCGCATTTGAACCTCCGTGGCCATAAGAGGGTTTTTATTCCTCATTGGATTTGAACCTGAGACCTCCACGTACTTTTGACCTTTGGAGCCAAGCTCAAACCAATCAGGCACCACCCTTGTGGTTACCTAATGTTTTTTAATGTATAAGTTTTTCATGAAAATCACTCATTTAGAATTTATAAGACAAATCTTATTCCATTTGAAAGATGGTCATGATCCATTCACAATAAAGCGTCTTGGTCGATTCCCAATAGGCTGTAGAGTTTCCACAACACTTCTCGATTCAAATACACCTCTACTCGCCCCCCTACAGTAGGACATCACGGTTTATCGCCAGCTGTGAAATCGAAACGATGGAAGTGCTCTAAAGGGTAGGCTAAACCTTTAGAGTATTAACACCAGACAAATATATCAAGTTAATCCTTTGAAGGTTTCAATCATTACTTAAGAACTGAATGAATCACTTTTATAAGTACAATCTCCTTTGCCATTTGCTCAAAAACTTCAAAGCTTTGATGTAACACAAAGGAGTATGCCAAACAAGGTGATGAAAAAGATAAAATGAGGTGTATTTTAATCTTCAATAAGGGTGTGTTTGGTACACTGGACAATGACATGACAGAACATGATAGAGATCTTTATCCCATGTTTGACATAAATTTTATGTTGAACAAAGTGAAACATGCCTGTTCCACCGCTAACCCATGAAACATGGTAGAACAAGGTGAAACAGACTTATATTTTACCAATATAACCTCAAAATAAAATTTAATTTTCTACTAAAACATCAAATAGGTCTCTTTTTTACATTTTATTCATTCTTTAAATTTTATTTATTGTATTTTATGTTTCTTAAACTTTCATTTTACTGTCCTCAACATATTATTTTTAGTTCTATATTTTTATTAATTTATGTAATTTATTATATATTAATAATAAAAAATAATGTAGAAAAGAGATAAAAATAAAAATAGAAAACTATATAAACTTTTTATTTGGTGTCATTTTAATTGTTTTGACGAAAACTTCAAATGATATATTTTGTTATAAAAGATAATTATTCTATTATAATTTAATAAATTACATAAATTAATTAAAATAAAGAACTCATCAGAGGTAAATTGATTATTTTACTTGTTCTATTCTGTTTAGTTTGATCTTACAAAACGTTGAACAATTGTTCTATCTTATCTTATCCTGTCATGTTCTGCCCAGTCTTGTTTGGACACCAAACACACCCTAAAATATAATTTATTCAAACTAAAAGGGCGGTTTCTGTAATTAGAGTAAACCTCAGGAGGTGGTTTATGCAATTAACCCTAATTTTGATTTTGGGGGAAGAAGAAGACCCAATTGGGGTACAGAATGAGCTGGATCTCATCCACCTGTAGCTGGCAATGTCGTTGTAATCATATGGGTCCACCCGAAAACTTTACCCGAATATCCTCTCTGCTCATTCGGACCCACATTTGGACCCACATTCGGAGAGTTCATACTCGACTAGAAAACCTCTCCGATTATCAATCAATTTATTTTCTATCAGATCCAATTTTCTTGAATTTGAACCACTTTGGTTCGAATTTTGGTTTGTCCTATTAGGTATCCCGATTTTGATTGGCGGGAAAATTGTTCTTATTTATAGATTGTTTTTATTGATTATCCGTAGGCTTGAGGAGAGAATTTGAGTAGCAGATTAAATAAATCGAGTGGTTTTTTGTTGAAGAAAGAGATGGGTGTTTCTGATAATTCGACAGGGTTGATACTGGCTGTGTTATCTAGCGGATTCATTGGAACAAGCTTCATATTGAAGAAGAAAGGTCTTAAGCGAGCTGCTGCTTCCACTGGTTTTGGTGCAGGTATGTGTGCGTGTGTTTGGATCTTGTAATTATAAATTCATACTTGTTACAGCTTCATATGGTGAGTTTGATATTTTGGGGATTGCTTTCAGGGTTTGATTTTCTGTGGGTTTATGCTCACTTTGTTTGATTTGCATTCTATAAGATCCAGTGTCCTAAAGGGCCATTGGCCTAGGGGTATTCAGTAAACCCAACCTTCCTAGAGATCCTAAGGGTTCAAGCCTCACCTTTGGTGAGGAGTTAGGGGCTGTTTGGTTGGTTTTCCATTAAGTCCTACATGGATAAAGATGTCTTTGGGCATTAATTTGTCTGTATAGATAGGAAAGATTTTTGTTTGGGAGGGTTGTTTCGTCGATTTAATGAGCATGTCTTTTAACTGGGGGTTTGGAAAAAAACTTGGCTTTAATAAGCCACTACCAAACAGTTTTGTATAGCGGACCAAATAAGCTGCGAGTTCCATTAAACTCGTTAAGCTGCTAACAAACAGGCCCTTAGAGTCTTTGAGTTCAATTTGTCGTGTATAAATATTATATACTTAAAAGAAGTTGAGAATATGAGATGGGGTTTGTAAAAAAAGTGTGGAACAAAATCAATGGTTGCTAAATCTATATTCTTCTTTTTCATGTCTTTTGAGTGGGTTTTTGGGTATAAGGAAATTGGTTTTGAGCTCTAGATTGAGGCTTTAGGTGAATTCCTTTATAGTAACAAAAAAAGAAGTGTTCGGAAAATGTGCCTGTAAGCAGTGGATGCTGGTTGTTGACGTTTAATGTAGCTTTCTGGATGTGGTCATTAGTTGGATGAAGCAAGTAAAGCATATAGGAGAGCAAAACAGAATTTGTAGAACCGACGTAGGAAAAAGAATCTGAATCAATAATCGCAAATCGTTGCTGGTTAAAGGAGTTGTGCTATTGCAGAATGGTGGTGAATCTTGCAAATCTAAAGAGTATAAATTTTCTTAAATCTGAAGGGGTTAATGTGTTGTTTGCCTTTACCCATTGTTGTTGCTAGGATTCTTATTATATTTTGTGAATTCTATAGGTCATGTTATAAGATTTTTCTTTATATTTCGTGATTCTGTTTATAAGTTGAAATTAGACATAAAAATGGATAAGGCAGGAAACTTGTTGCTTGTAACTATCTTCTCTGTCTTTTGTCTGATAATATTGGATCTACTAGTGCAAATCAGGCTTCATATCCAGTAGCTTCTTATAAATTGTTACGTAATTGTTTTGTCCAAAATCAAGCAATTCTATGTCCCCATTATTAAAATGCCAAGATCTTAGTATATTGGTCATTGTTAGAGTTAGATTTCACTTCAAATGTAATATTAAGAGTAGCGGCAAATGTATCATTTAATATAGCTCAAGTGTAGTATTTGAAATTACTAGTGTTGGATTATCCAAGGTCCAAGATTTTCTTCTTTCTTAGTTTTTCTAACCATGATGGCCGAACATTCTATTTCCAAGGTTGTATGTACACCATATAAGGTTGCAAGAAAATTCTTGTATAGGCTTTATGTGTAAATCATGGCAAGTTGCTAGAAATATATTATACACAACGATCGAACTACATTGCATTAAAACATGTTCATTGGATTATGTTGTTACACTCCATAGGAAAAATGAACTACTATGTGGGGAGTTTGATGGAAAACATGTTTTAAAGTCTTTATGTGTAAACCAAACAAGCTTAGTATATCCCACTTGGAGTAGGATCTGGGAGGGGTGAGATGTATGCAGACCTGATCCTACCCCAGGCTTTACCAACTAGGCCAATCCATTGAGGTTCATGAGAACTTTGTTATCTTATTGACTCAATTATCCACTATGTGCTCATAAGGATCAAGAATCACACCAATAGTAACAACATTATCAAAACACATCATGGGTATTGGTAGGATTTTATGATGCTTTGTGAATTTTGTAATTTTATAAAGATAAAGGCTTCCAACATTCGTAAGTCAAGTTTAGATGGAAAATGGATTAGACAATGATAACTATCTAAATTGTGTTTTTTTAATTGCTTTCTAATGAATTTGGATATGCGTAGTACTACCCTTGTTAAGAATCCAATTCGGTGCCATATCCAACAAATCGCTTCTTGTCTTTTTTTTTTAATTTCATATAACATAATTTTTTTATCTTATTAATGTTTTAGGACATGGAGGATACACTTACCTACAAGAACCACTTTGGTGGGTAGGCATGATTACAAGTAAGTTGTTGATAACCAATAGAACTCAAATCTCTCTCTGGCACGCATACATAACCTGCATTAGAACAAAAATTAACGGGTCCATGTTTGTTTATTGTTGGTTTCTGATAACTATACAGTGATTGTTGGAGAGGCTGCCAATTTTGTTGCTTATGCTTATGCTCCGGCCGTTCTTGTAACCCCTCTTGGTGCATTGAGTATAATCGTAAGGTAATAGCTTGAACTCTATTCTACATGAAGTGATTGACTTTTCTGACATCATACTCGACTTTTTATTGCAAATAAATCATCATTCTTGTGAAAAATGCTAGAAAGAACATTATAGTTCATTTACATTACCAAAATTGGTCCAAAAACACTCATTCTTACGAACTGTAGTGTTTTTCTTGGCATTTTTAAATGATGGTTCAGAAAGCCAATCACTCGTTTTACTTCATAAGCTATTCTCACAATGACCCTTGTTAAATCTTCAACTCAAATGTGTGATGAACTTGAAAACAGTGCTGTTTTGGCTCACTTCTTGTTAAAAGAACACCTGAAGCGGATGGGTGTTTTGGGATGTGTTTCGTGCATAGTGGGTTCAGTAGTGATCGTGATGCATGCACCCGAGGAGCACACTCCAAGTTCTGTAGAAGAAATATGGAATCTAGCAATTGAACCAGGTATACTTAGGGTTGTTTGGTACACCGGACAAGATTAGGGATCAATGTTTCACGTTTGGGAGGATTTTTATACAGACAAAAACAAAGTGGAACAGGCGTGCTCCACCCCCACCCCATGGAACAAATTGGAACAGACTTATGTTTTACCAACATAACCTCAAAGTAAAACTTAATTCACTTCTAAAACCTCAAATATGCCTTCCTCTTTACATTTTATTCATTTTTAAAATTTTATTATTGTATTTTATGATCTTCAAACTTTCACTTTAATGTCCTCGTAATATTATTTTTATACGGTTTCCATATTTTGATTAATTTATGTAATTTATTAAATTTTAATAATAAAAAAATAATATAGAAAAGGTATAAAATAAAAATTGGAAACTACATGAACTATTTATTTTGGTGTCATTTTAATCTGACGAAAACTTTCTAATGATATATTTTGTTATATAAAAATATGAATTTTATTATAATTTAATAAGTTACATAATTAATCAAAATATATAAAACATATAAACAACTCATTAGGGATAAATTGGTCATTTTGTTTGTTCTGTTCTGTCCAATCTTACCAAACGCTGAACAACTATTCTTTTCTGTTCTGTTCTGTTCTATCCTGTCGGGATACCAGATGTACCCTTAACATTCCGTCAACTAGAACTGTACAACTTTTTGCATGCAACATCTATACTCTTTGGAGTAGGTCAGGTCTGCGCACATCCCACCTCCAAGATCCTACTTTCAAGTGGGATATACTGTGTCAGTTTAGTTTGGTTTTGGTTTTTAGAATGGTGCAACTTTCTCTAGTAATCGATACTTACCAACTTATTTCTATTGACAGCATTCCTATTATACGTAGCAGCTACATTATCATTGGTAGCGGCTCTTGTGATGCATTTTGAACCGCGTTATGGGCAGACAAATATATTGATATATTTGGGGATATGTTCCCTAATGGGTTCTCTAACAGTAAGTTCATGGTTTACTATCTCACAAGAAATCAAGAATGTTGTCTTATGATGATCTCAACTGTAGTACCCGTTTCTCATTTTGTAGGTCGTAAGCATAAAGGCCATCGGTATTGCAATAAAGCTTACTCTAGAGGGAGTTAGTCAAGTTGCATATCCTCAAACTTGGGTCTTCGTTACCGTTGCTGTACTATGTGTGATCACACAGTTGAATTATCTTAACAAGGTAATGTTCATGTTTTCTTTTTTGAAACAATCGAAATACGTAAGCACCCTGTTGGGAATGAGTCTTCAAGCCACAATTGTTTGTTGCTTAATTTTACGAAAAGGGCATTATCGTAATTTAACAGTGTGCTGTAATTGGTATTCGTAAAGGGTGTTCTTTATGGTATTCGTAAAGAGTCCTGTAATTGCAAACACTTACATGTAGCTTGCTTTATTGTGTCTTTTATTTTTTTGTTTTACAAGCTGAGGGTCTTCATGAGAACAACTTCTCTTCCCCTTCAGATAGAGGAAACATCTGCATACATCCTATCCCCCAACCTACTTGCATGGGTTTACTGGGTTTGGTTGGTTTGGTTTTGGTTAACTTGTGCTTCCATCTCATAGCTGGTGCGTTTGGTATGTAAGATAGGACAGGATAAGACAAAACAAAAACTTGTTTCCCATGTTTGGTGCGACATTTAGGGGCGGTTTGGTTGGTTTTCCATCAAGTTCTGTATGGATAAAGTCGTCTGTGTAGATTAATCTGTCTGTATAGATCGGGAAGGTTTTTGTTTTGCAGAGTTTTTGCATAGATGGAATGAACGTGCTTTTCAATTGGGAGGGGCAAGTTTGGAAGAAAAAAAACTTGTCTTTCTGCATAAAACTCGTCCCTAGAAGCTTACTGAATAAGCCACTCTGTATATTATTAAGCCACTACCAAACAGTCATGTATGGCTGACCGAATAAGCTGTGAATCTCGTTAAGCTGCTACCAAGCAGGGCCTTAGATTAGGACAGGACTGGACTGAGTGGGACAAGAATGCATTTTTTATATCGTCAAAATTTGTGGAACAAAAATTAGGGAGATGGGATAAGATTGGTAAATTACTAAACCACCGTGTCAAATAAAACCCTAAAACCTTAGACAATTCTTTCACCTGCCTACCTCATTCTCATCCATCCAGTCTTGTTTAGGAAACACATATGTAAACAAGCCTTTGGGATTCAATTTTATTCGGGGCTTTTTTGGTCAAGGGTCTAGGTGAGACGAGACACCAAATATCATGGCAAAATCTTGAACTTATATTGATATAGCGGCTCCTTTCTTTGCAGGCTTTGGATACATTCAACACAGCAATTGTTTCCCCAATATATTATGTGATGTTCACTTCTTTAACGATCGTTGCAAGTGTTATAATGTTCAAGGTATCTTCTCATTCACACCCGACCCTTTTATATTTTAAACAACAAAATAACGAGCGAGCTATTGTCTCTTGGCATATATGCACAAATGCAGGATTGGAAAGATCAAAGTGTTAGCGACATAGCATCTGAGATATGTGGATTCATTACTGTTCTTTCGGGAACAATTGTTCTTCATTCGACAAGAGAGCAAGAACCATCTGTGGCACCAGGTACATTCCATCCATCTTGTCAATAAACGAAATCAAACCAAACTGACCCAATAAATCCAACTCGAGAGCTGGGTCAGGGGTGAAAATTTGGAATATATGAAGACTTGACCTCTACTTCATCTTATTGGTAGACTGTCTGGGTTTTTTTTTTTTGATTAACCTGGATATCCAACCCGCTATGCGAGCCGACTAATGCCAGGGCGACCACCTGCTTTGCAGATAGCCCGGAGTCACCGCATTTGAACCTCCGTGGCCACAAGGGGATTTTTATTTCTCCTTGGATTTGAACCCGTGACCTCCTGGCACTTTTGGCATTTGGAGTCAAACTCAAACCAATCAGGCATCACTCTTGTGGTTATTGTATGGCTTTTAGATTGGCTTAATCGATGAGCTATAATAAATGGTATTTTAGACGTATGAAGATTGTTGGTTCTTTTCTTTCAAAGTTGTCTGATGAAAATTTCAAGTTTTCTGTTTTAGAAAGTTTTCATATTAAAGTTACGAGTAAACTCTAATTTTGGTTCTTGAGGTTTAGTGAAATTTTTGAAAGTGGGACCTGAACTTTGATAAGTGTAGAAAACTAGAAATCGTCCTTGTGGTTCTCATTTTGCTCTGAAAATGGTCCCTCGTCACTAACTTCGTTAACAATCTCCGTTAGAGTGAGGGGTGGTTTAGTCTTTTTACCTTATATCTTTTAAAAATATAATATTTAATTTAGAGTAAATTTATGTTTTCCGTCACTATGGTTTGTTACAAATTCCAGATTTTGTCTCCTTATGGTTTTGAAATTGTGGTTTGATCCTTATGGTTGACAATTCATTTCTATTTTCGTTTCTGAAGTTAAATACTACTTTTAAGTATGAAAGATTATAATAGAAATGAATTGTAGACCATAGGGACGAAAAAAAATAAAATAAAGTTTTAATCATGAGGATGAAAACGGAAATTAATTATGAACTTCGAGGATGAAAGTTGTAATTTTAAAACCACAAGGACGAAAATAGAAATTTTCAACAAACCACAGGGACTACAAACATAGTTTACTCTATAATTTATATATTGTTTCTTAAATTGTATATTATAGTTTTTTTAAATTTATATATTAATTTTTAAATTTACATATAGTAATTGATATATTATTTCTTAAATAATATCTTATATTTTTTTAATTTATATATTGTTTCTTAAATTTATATATTAAAAAAAATATATAAATAAACAATATATAAATTTAAAAAAATATAATATATATAGTTTAAGAAATAATATATAGATTATATATTATATTTCTTTAAAAGATATATAGGAAAATATGTAAAAAGACTAAACAACCCCTACTCTAACGAAGATTGTTAACAAAGTTAGTGACTAGGGACCATTTTCAGAACAAAATAAGAACCATAAGGATGATTTCTAGACTTGTCAAAGTTCGGGTCCCATTTTCAAATATTTCACTAAACCTCAGGGTCCAAAATTAGAGTTTACTCATAAAATTACCTTAGCTGTTCAATGTCAAGGGTAAATACGTAATTTTAATATGAAAAGTTTTTAAAAAGGAAAATTTTCATAGTAGACTAGGATGTAGGGACTTGATAATCTTTTTGAAATTCTAAAGTCAACTTTTTCGCACACACCTTTTTGCAAGTTCGGGATCTTAATGGAAACAGTTGCTCTACAGTCTGAGGGAAAAGGACAAGTCTGTGCACATCTTACCCTCCTCAGACCCTACCCCTCAGTGGGATATACTGGGTTGGGTTGGTTTGGTTTGATGCTAGCTAACAATGCATAACTGCAGTAACAGGTACCTTTTATCGTTAGAAACAATCTAAACAAATCCGCTACTTTTTGTAGGAACGGTAACATGGTATGATCAAGATCCCATAAAAACCGTGGAGGAGGATGAACATCTAATCACCATTCACAATTCAGATTATTTCGACTAGAAATCTTGTCTCAAGATTGTATAGATCATATCATTTATTGGAGATGCATTCACAAGTGCATATGAGATTGGATCAACATGTTTCCATTGAGGAGTTGCAAGGGTTTGATTTTAGCGGCCGAAGAAGATCATTGAAGATTGTATCAACTCGGATATGAAGTCTCCAACAAATCATCATTCGATCATCGTAGATTGTTTGGATTTTTCATCGAGGATTGTACATATTTTATGTTCTTTTTTTTTTAATTTCGCTCGTACGATTCTAGTTTGAGGTGTAAGTTTTTTAGTTTGTGAAGATCAATCATTCATCTTTTGTACACATGTTTATACATATATATATATATATATATATATATATACACATACATATGTGTATTTGTCGTTTCATGGGTTATGTCATTTCTACTGTATAAATATGACTCGTAAAATAAAATGGTAAATGATGAAAAGGAAATGACATGTAACCAAAGGGTTTTTGGCCTAGCAATATGTGAGTCATTGGCCTCCTAGGAAGTCAAGAGTTCAAACCTCACCAAATCTGAGGAGGGTGTGTGGGTTTATTTGTTTTATTTGCCGTATATAAATATTTTATATACTTCAAAAAAATGGCATGTAAGAAATTACGCAACTACCCTTGAGATAGAATTTTGAGTAAATTACGATTTTTGTCCCTTTGGTTTAGATTGAGATTTTAGTCTTTATAGTTTGCAATCTATTGCTATTTTTGTCCTTGAATTAATTCATATGTTTTAAATACAAGGGATAAAAATATTAAATAATTGTAAACCATAGCGACTGAAACAACAATAAATTGTAAATCATAAGGACAAAAATGACAATGAACTACAAAGCATAGGGACGAAAATCACAATTTCCAAAGCATAGGGACGAAAATCACAATTTCTAAACCATAGGGATAAATATCATAATTTTTAACAAACCACAGAACGAAAAATATAATTTACTCTATAAGACAAAAAAAAAAAAAATTCAAATTCAACCTAGATTAGCAAGTGGTACCGTCGCAATTGTGGACCTGAGTTGGATCTGATTTTTTTTTTGTCTTTTAGCTAGGTCCGAAAGTGGGGGAGGTGAAACTTGTGTAGTTAGTGACATTTGGGTAAATCAAGGAGAGTAACGCTGTGAGGCCAATTTAAGAGGGAGAAATGACTATTTTGGTCAATTTTCTAAAAAAAAAGACAATGGGTATTATAGGTCATGACTCGGGATAGACATATTCAAGTACCCGTCATTCTTTTATCAATATAAGAATCATATCGTTTTTTTTTACATCAAAATGTAGCAATTGATTTGAAAAACAATTTAAAAAACTGTCAATGTTTGAAACATCTGAAATACTCTTTGAAATAGAGATATTTTTCAACTCGAATTAATGTAAATAAAAAAAAAAAAAAGAAAAAACTAAATTGTTGTAGGATAAGTGTGTCATCGTCTAAAGGATATCACGATCTAGATAGAGATAGACATATTAGAAATATATTATAACTAATATCTATCGTAGCTATCTATTTGTATCTCATCCCTATTTATAGGGCTTTACATTAATGAGAATAACAGTATTATTTCTCTATTCTATTGTTGTTTTTTTTCCAGTTATTTTATAACATAAATCTATTTATAAAATATTTACAGAAAAAGTTCATATTGTTTGTGAATTGTGATACATGTTTATGTTACATACTCATCTCTCCACCTACTAAAGTTGGTTTCATATGTGCAATTAATGCATATCTTTAATTGGTTACAAAACAATAAATGATTTTGAGCCAAATGTTTTCACTATTTTTTTTATTAACCTAGATATCCAACCCGCTATGCGAGTCGACTAATCCCAGGACGACCACCTGCTTTGCAAATAGCCCGGAGTCACCGTATTTGAACCTCCGTGGCCATAAAGGGATTTTTATTTCTCCTTAGATTTGAATCTGAGACCTCCTGGTACTTTTGACCTTTGAGGTCAAGCTCAAACCAATCAGGTACCACCCTTGTAGTTATGTTTTCACTATTTTTTTTTGATCCAAAGTTATGTACAACTGTGTTAGGGTTAAGGTTTTTTATAACCGTGGTTATCTGGACCAGCTTATACGTATCGACTGATCTCTCGAACGATAACGATTGGCTTGGAATTATTGCAGGTAAACCTCCATGACCACAAGGTTTTGACATGACCAGTATTCAAACCCAGGGAAGATGAGATCTTCATTTTATCTCTCGGGCGTTAATTAGAAGGATTTTAATAATAAACTCAATTACTTTAATTTATAATATTAAAATATGTTTAAAATATTTTTAATGTATAATTCATTCTAACAAAACCACCCGATTTGTTCGGGTTGATCGACCGTTCGTGAAGCGTTCGACGAGAAGTTCGTTTATTTAATAAATGAATGAACATGAGCAGTTTTTTTGTTTGTTTAGTTAAACGAACGAACTTGAATAAGAGTTTCGTTCGTTCATTTATGTTTGTGAACGTTCGTTCATTTATGTTCGTTTATATATTAAATTTAATATATTATCTTTAATTTATTTAGTTTAAATTCAAATAATATTTATTTAAATTTTAACTTTTAAGAATTTATCTAGATTTAAATTTTGTCATAATTTTGTCTTATTTGAATTTTTTACCTTTTCACTTTTTCCCCAAAACCCTAGCCTTCATATAATTGGTGTGCAATAGTTAATTGAATGACAAGTAGTGGTGTTCGTTTGTTTATGTTCGTTTAAGTCTGTTCGTTTATGTTCGTTTAGGCCTATTCGTTTATGTTTATTTAGACCTATTCGTTTATGTTCGTTTAGCCTATGAACACACCTGATTCTAAATGAACGAATATGAACACAAAGATTTTCCTTCGTTTACCGTTCGTGTTTGTTCGTTTGTTTGGTTAAGTTAAACGAACGAACATGAACAAGTCTTTGTTCGTGTTCGTTTACAACCCTAGTAGTTAATAATAAATAAACTCTGTGTATGTTAAGTTGTCTGTCTGGATCAATTTATGTATGAGGGACGAGACACTTATGGGTTTGAGGGAGGTAGAAGAAGAGGGTTGAATTATTTCAAGGGCATTTTTGGTTTTAATTTGTTTGAGATGACTTAATGAGAACAAGTAAAGGGTCTTGGCTTATTCCATATAGTCATTTTGGCTTAACCGTTTAAAGATTAAGCTATAAAGAAACACTCTTGTATGACTAAACCAATAAGTCATTCAAACCATTAAACTTATTAAGCCGTAAGTAATGGGTGTTGTTGTTTACTTTTTATATCTTAACCAACAGTCTGAATAACATAAATGACCGATTTACCCTCCCAATATTAATTATTTGAATATCAAAACAAAAAATCATAAAGAGGTTGACGATGGGGTGTCTCATTTGGGAAGGAGGAGATGCTTTAAATATGGGGTAGAGGTATCATTTTTGTGGCTGAATGGGGACAACACATCATTTCTATTTGTGCGATTAAGCCATGTTCTGTGCGAATAAGCCGTAAGTAAACAACCCAAATGAGCTGTGCGAATAAGCCAGATAGACCAATAAGCCTAATTAAGTCACAAGTAAACAACTCTTTAGTTTGTCACAGTAAACCGATTTGACCCAATCCAACTAATTCGGTTTGTAGATTTTAGATGACTAAATTTCAAAATTTGGTATTTAATAAAATTCTACCACCAAACTTTATGGTTCAAAAATCATTTATTTACAAGTCCACCTATAAACCCTCTACCTCTTAAATGAGACATTGATGTTGTACATCTGCATTTATCCATCCATAATTCAAGTTCCGTACCATTAATATTTGTAGACGGGGTTCAGGCTCGTTCCTGATATTTTATATGCTCTGGACGAAAGTAAAAACATGGTCCACTGCAAGAAACAAGACTTAAAAGTCATTGCTAAAAGTCCATTTATCATTAGAAAGAGTATATAACAACATGTCGTCGCTATAACTTGTGACGGATCATCAAAGCTCACCTTTCTTGTAGTGATTCTCGGTAAGTGTGAAAAAAATTCAATAAATATGTGTTATTTTGATACAAAAAGAGAATTCATATGAATGAAGTAATCATGAGGGTCAATAAGAGATCAATAATAGAGAAGATTATCAAGGTTTTCTTGACAAGTAGACAAATGAGAATCAATAAGAATATGAAAGAAAATATGATTCATTGAGGTCCAATAAAAATAAATAATGAATTAAACATACAATATCCAAGTTCAACAAATAGTTGTTTGGGCACTTAAATAGAATCTTGTGGTATGGTGGAATCCCAATGAAAGAAACATAAGTCAAATAATTGATGAAAATATTTAAATTCTATTTTTATTCTTATTTTTGCTTAACTAAAATAAGATGTAAAAATTAAAAGTTTATGGAACATGTGACGTATATGAGAGACATTACTAAATACATCTAGTAGAAAAAAATTATTGATTAATTACAAAAACTATGAAACACGTCATAAATCATAAGAACAATAGATTTATTATCAAACAATAGTAAAATATTTTTTGTAGAAGCAAAAATAGATAAAAATAATCAACAAAAACAATTAGAACAACATATATCAATAGCCAATAGAAGCAGAAATACATAAAAATATTCAACAAAAATATATAATAATAACAAGTACATGATCTTAACATTGAATTATTGAAACACGAAAACAATCAAGCATATATAGATAGCAATAGCCAATGTCATTGGACCTTGTTGGAGATAAAAAAAAAAAATTAGAGAGACAATAAATAATAGCGTATAATGAATGACCAATTATTTTTTGTATTTTCTTCTCTAATGTAATTAGTTGATATATTTTTGAACTTTTATTATGTACTAAATTCTTTTTGCCTCTTATTATATACTACAATTTTTTGGGTTTCTTCATTTTATTAAAAAAATTTAGACTACTTATGTATGTTAAGGGAAAAATTTGGGCCCCTGATATTTTTGGACCTTGGGCGTGCGCTCGTGCCGCCCCCCGGGACGGCCCTGACAGGGTTATACATGAATATGCAAATTACGTTTAAGAGTTTGTAACTGTATCCTTCGAGACAACAAAAACTACATTGTCTTAGAAGTATCAAGTGAAAAAAAAATCAGATAGATATACAGTTGTTCGCTAGGTGGCTGTCTTAAGAGTCCAGTGTTCATGAGGATCCAGACGCCCAAAGCGTTCACACTGCAACCACTATATTTGAACCCTCGTTTGTGCAGTTATATCATTTCAGAAGTAACTGTGCTATGCCTTTAAAAGATCTGTAACCTTTGATCAGAGGTTTCTTTGAGATCGTCGTATCAGTGCAATTCATCTTTTCAAAATGTAGAAATGACAAGTCAGTCTTTATCCATTAAATGGTATTTGTACTACGTGCATTAAAAGTTGTACATGATTGCAATTTCACCGTCTCTTCCATAAAAAGAGTTTAACATATCGGGTTTTTTTCTTATAACAAAACTAGCAATTCCCGAGTGACGTTGCATTTTCTTATACGTCATCTAATAAAACGCGTAAACCATTCTTGATTTAGCTGATTTTGCAATGGAAAAACGTAATATTCCGTTCCCTTCTTATTCTTGATTCGACCAATTTTGTCGAGTAACAATAGCTTTCATTTCATTCTTTTCTTGGAGAATCATAAATAACGACGCTATGCACATCTTTCTTGTACTTCATGCATTAAAAGTTGTACAAGATTTCGAATTTACTGTAACACGCATTTCATTCTTTTCTCAAACCAATAACAATAACATCACATTTTCTTTATACTTCATGATGCAATAAAACTTGTACATTGTTTCAAAAAAGGGTCAACGTTTCTCGACTTTCAAGATTCCACGACATCATAGCTTCTTGACTGTTCAGACTTTACCTCTGTGCGATATATATACGTATGTGTGTTAAGAGATAGCGGAAAGTTTTATTAGAAACCCAAATTGATTAGAAACCTAAGAACCGTTCACATCGCTTCACATGTCTCTGTTCAATATTTATCATGAATCATACATTCATGATGAATATGTATATGTTATAAATAATGAATCACACATTCATTACGAATATGGATGTGTTATAGATGATGAGTCACACATTCATGATGAATAACACTCTGATAAATGTGTCACGTGTCGTGCTGTGAACGGTCTCGGGTTCCTAACGGTTTTAGGTTCCGTGCGTGATAGAACCTATATATTACTGAGTTCACTCGATATCGTTTTGTACCCTACGCATTAAAACTTATACATTGTTATGGTGAGACCATTTTGTGTGATGTGAAAAAGATCCAAAGATTTACATGGTTTTTCAAGATTTCATTAATTGTTGGACAGTTGAGAGTTGTATTACACCAATTCTATCCTCCATTTATTAACATGCTTCTACCCTCATTTTTCATATTTACATCTCTCTCTCTCTCTACTCTCTCTCCTCTTCCATTCAGACCTTCTTTGAAGTGGGTTCATGAGTTGGCGAACCATGGGTCTGGGACTGGTCACAACCCTGCTCATTGTCGGTGCAGCCATTGGTGGAGCCAATGGAGATGCCATGGTCAGTGGCTCAGTCTTTTGTGACCAATGTAAAGATGGCCAAGTTACCCTCTTTGATTACCCTCTAACTGGTTAGTAACTTTATTTTCCCTTTTTGTTTTTCGATCTTTTGAACCATCATATTTAATTTTCGTTACAAATAAATAAAGGGGTTTAAAGAAAAATCGAACACTACATTTCATGAAAACCGACACTAAAATGGTTTTCTCGAGCCCCTGTAGTATTGGCTTAACAGATAAGCAGGTGGGTATTACTGTAGAATGAGTAAGAAGTCTAAGTTCGATTTCTCTTTTCGACACCATATCCACTGTCTTTTCATGATAAAATGCGATCTTTTTCTTATAAAAGAACGGTTCTTTTATGGGTTTACTTTTTAAAGTTCGTTAGAAACTGCTATTTTTGCAAATAGAAGAAAATTTTCCAAATTAATGCATTTTGATTTAATTTTGGTTATTTATAACATAAAAGCAAAGAAAGACAAAAAGGGGATTTTAATAAGAAATAGTTTCATTAAGAGATAGTATCTGAATCGTTAAGAAGTGAATCTTGTTTGACAAAAAAAAAATCTGCCTTTTAATGATTCTAAAATCTTCTGAATGATTTTGTATCATGGGTCTCTCTAAACCGTTCAGCGCTTAAACAATTACCAAACAATTATATTTCATTTTGCACTATATCATGAGAGTCTCTTAATCATTTTGTACCAAAATCGTCCAACATTAATAAGAAAATATTGTTTAAAAAAATAAATTCCATTTTATTTTCTTGTTTTTATAGGATTAAAAGTATCAATGGCTTGCCCGGGGCAGAGCGGGCAACCGACGGTAATAGGCGAAGTAACGACAAATTGGTTAGGGGGCTACGTGATGCGATTTGAAGGCGCACCGGATATGGGTGGCTGCCGGGCACAGGTTTCCGGCAGCGGTCAAGGATGTGGGGCAGTTGCCGGTCCTTCTCGGGGACTGAATCTGGTGTTTCAAATGTTTGATACCGAGATTTATACGGTTGATCCTTTGATTTCCCAGCCTGCCCAACCAATGTCCTTCTGCCCGCGGTCATCTTCCCCTCTGCCCAAACCCGTGACGCCGGCATTGCCTCCTCCGGCCAAACTTCCGCCTACCCCTCGTCCACCGCAACTGCCACCGTTGCCGCGACTGCCGCCCACACCATCGGTGCCGTTCTTGGAAGCTTCAGCTTGTCCATACCAGTAAGTGTGATCATGTTTATTTTGGCATTTTCTTACCCATGGTTAGGGCTGTAAACGAACACGAACGGAGGCTTGTTCATGTCCGTTCGTTTAAATTAACCGAAGAAATGAACGAACACGAACGGTAAACGAACGAAGATCTTTGTGTTCGTGTTCGTTCGTTTAGAAATAAGGTGTGTTCGTGTTCGTTTATGTTCGTTCGTTAACATGCTAAACGAACGTAAACGAACAAACATAAACGAACGGGCTAAACGAACATAAATAAATATTACTTGTATATTAAATTTAATATATAAACGAACATAAACGAACAATAAATGAACGAACGTAAACGAACGGTAAATGAACGAACGTTCACGAACATAAATGAACAAACGAGACTCTTGTTCATGTTCATTCGTTTAACTAAACGAACGGTAAATGAACGAACGTTCACGAACATAAATGAACAAACGAGACTCTTGTTCATGTTCATTCGTTTAACTAAACGAACGGTAAATGAACGAACGTTCACGAACATAAATGAACGAACGAGACTCTTGTTCATGTTCATTCGTTTAACTAAACGAACACAAAAAATTGTTCATGTTCGTTCATTTATTAAATAAACCGACATAAACGAACTTTCCGCCGAACGGTTCACGAACGGTTCGCTGAAAGTTCGGTTCGTTTACAGCCCTACCCATGGTCGTGTTTCGACATGGGTTTTTTCAGCAAGCCCGACTACGGTTTTCGTGTGAAAGCTTGGCCCGATCGGGCTTTTAGGCCTTGGCTTGGGTTTTTCGGGCCAAGCTTGTGTCGGGCTTTTTTATGCATCTCTAATAGAAATGAAAATAAAAGAAACTGTTTGATTTTCTATAATATAATGGACTCATTTCTCTAGAAGTCCAAAATTTTATTCCTGGTTAAACCGGAGGAATGATTGTCATTTTCATTCCTCAGCATTAGCCAAACAGACCCAACTGACGTCATTTGACAATTTGATTTTAGCATGTGGACGATGCCGGAGCACGAGTGCTATTGGCGGGTGCTATCTCCGGACCTAAAAGTGGCGGTGGTGTTCGGACCACTGGCGGGGAGGAAATACGGCACAGATCTTACGCTACGAGGAAGCATGACGGGCCGAGCGGATCCTTACAAGACGCTTTTACGGGAAGCCACAACTGCGCTCCTCAATTCTTACAACAGTATCGAGTTCCCGTACCATCCTCTCGACGTTGTCCAACGCTTAAACTATGCACTGATCGGAGGATCCACACGACAAGTTCTCATGACCGCCCTTCGGTTCCTTAAGGCAAATTCAGGACAACCCGGAAATATCACTTGCAAATTCACAACTTGCAAGTAAAAGCTCGATCATTCTTGTGTTTTTACGTTCAAAAAAGATATATATATTTTGACTTTTTAAAGTCAAAACCGATTACCGTTCGAAATAGTTTTAAAGCATATGATCTACTTAAGATCACGGAGATTATTTATTACGATCAACGTTGTATTTGTTACTAAATTAATCCAACATTCGTCACCGACAATCGTTCTAATTGCTATATTATATGGTTTTTCTCACTACGATAAAATCGGGTTTGTGAGACGTAAAAATATATATATAAATGTTCTAATAGACGTTATTATAGGATTTAAGTTTACAAGACCAAATAATTTGCATTCAAGGGGCAGACCTATGAAGGCTTGAGCAGGTCCCTGCACCAGCTCAACCGATTTTCGTAATTAGTATTTTTTTATTGGGTATGAAAGGTGCACCTGCTAAACTTTTGAGGGGTGATCCGAGTCCGGGATATTTATTAGGAAATATAAACAACGTCAATCAAAAAACTAAGGGGCCGTTTATCAAACACTTACCCCGTAAGTGCTTACCGGTAAAATTTAACACTATTATTTACTTACCGGGCAAGATTTTAGTCCACCAAAATGACATCATATACAATAATTTACTTGGTAAGTGCTTATCGTGGTAAGAGTCGTCGCCTTCACTTACCGGGTAAGATTCTTGATCATTCCCATATTCGGAGAAATGTGACTCGGTAAACGGCCCTAAGACGGCAAATTAAACAACTTTTGGCCTGCAAACTTTTGACATGTAGTTGTTTGTATTGATGGATGAATGTTGTCATTTTAGCTTTATAAAACCCTATATTTAAACGAGTTGTAAACGAACTCGTTTGTAGACTTGGTACCGAGTCAACTCAGCCATGTCCTTGTCCATGTTCTCCTCGCTCTTCTTCTTTCTTCTAGCGTTATCGACCTGCCATGCTCACAAAGAAGCCACGATAAACGAACTCAGGGTCGCGTTTAACCAGAACCGAGTCAACTCGAGGCAACTCGTTGAGTTTTATCTTGGTGAGATCAAGAAACTCAACCCAATTCTAAAAGGGGTTATTGAAGTGAACCCGGATGCACTGTACGAAGCCGATCGAGCCGACCGTGAACGGGCGGCTAAGGTCCCTCGGTCGACGGTCGGTTTGCAAGGCATTCCCGTGCTTCTGAAGGACATTATCGCGACAAAAGATAAACTTAACACCACGAGTGGTTCGTTTGCGTTGCTTGGGTCGGTCGTGCCTCGGGATGCCGGGGTAGTTTCAAGGTTACGAAAAGCCGGTGCTATTATATTAGGAAAGGCGAGCATGAGCGAGTGGTCTGATTTTCGATCGTTGAGTGCACCAAATGGTTGGAGTCCGAGGGGTGGACAAGGAAAGGTTAGTCCTATACGTAACAACCGTCCCACATGAATAGAAAATTAGATTTATAAACTTTTCGGTAAGTTCAAAATTAATAACTTCCACCAAAGGTTTTAAGCTGATTTAAAGATTATTAGGTCAGTCTGCTGCTTTGCGTTATAAAATGTTGCATAAAAGGTGTAGTGTCCGAAAAATTTACCGTAAACTTACATGCATTGCTTAGTTGTATATTACAGTACAACTAAGCAATGCACAAAAATACGTCACAGTTTCGGACACTACCATAATGTATCAGTATATACAAACAAAACGAACTTTTCTAGAACTTCTTTTAACCCTCTTATGTAGAATCCTTATGTTCTATCGGCAAGTCCGTGTGGTTCAAGTAGCGGACCGGCAATATCCGTGGCGGCCAATTTGGCGGCAGTGTCGATAGGAACCGAGACAGACGGCTCTATCTTATGTCCCGCTGGGTTTAACTCAGTAGTTGGGATCAAACCCACGGTCGGTCTCACTAGCCGAGCTGGGGTCGTTCCGATTTCTCCGTCAAGGGACACCGTCGGGTAAAATTTTGTACATAATCGTGTTTCATGTATGCTTGAAATCTTTTTTTCTTTTGACCGGTTAACGGGCTCTGACCGGGCCTTTCCTTAACCGGTCAATAGCCGGTCCTTGGTCAGAAATCATAAACCGAATCGGGCCTTCCCTATAACCGTCAGTAAAAATCAGTTAACTGATTCTTTGTGAATCAATACTCGACAATAACTATTCCAACAGATCGGGCGTTGCTAATACTTAGATATCCAAACAATGTTCGAATTTTATGTATCTATTGGTTCTTCGAATAGGCCAATATGCAGGACGGTATCAGATGCTGTTTACGTTCTAGAGACAATAGCGGGATTCGATTACAACGATGGCGAGGCAACTCAAAGGGCGTCACAATATATCCCGAATGGTGGATACGCTCAATTCCTAAAGCTTGATGGGATCAAAGGGAAGCGGATTGGTGTCGTGAGAAACCAGTTCTTCGTGTTCGCTAACGGATCGAACCTACGTCAAATTTTCGAAAGCCATTTGCAAACACTAAGGTATCGTTTGGTGATAACAACACTATTCACGTTAAAAAACAAGATATAACGAACGTTCGATAATGACCCACTTTCTTTTACATTGCTCGAAACATTTGTTAGGCAAAAAGGTGCAATCTTGATCGATAATTTGGAGATCCCTGGCCTCGACACCATATTTAACGCCACCGCAAGCGGCGAAGCGGTAGCTACGATAGCCGAATTCAAGATCGCGATAAACGCTTACTTGAAAGCACTTGTCACTTCTCCGGTTCGTTCATTGGCGGAGATAATAGCCTTCAATCAGAAGTTTTCCGATTTGGTAACAACCAAAATCTTCCGAGTGTATTTGATACATAGACATGACGTGACACGAGAGCAGAAAAAATGCACTTTGTCCTACTCTCACGATCTGTCATGTACCAGTAAACGTCACATCAAACATGACACAACAAGTTTTTGTACTGTATATCCTGCGTCCTGCCGTTTTGAGTTCAAATCTAACGTTAAAAAGCAATCATGCAGGAAAAGCTTGCGAATTTCGGGCAAGATATATTCTTGGCAGCCGAAGCGACAAATGGGATCGGAGATTTAGAGAAGGCAGCTATAGCAAACATGGCTAAGCTAACGAGAGACGGATACGAGAAGATGATGGCGGAGAACCACCTAGACGCGGTGGTGACACCTGGCCCTAATATTTCTCTGGTGTTGGCCATCGGTGGTTTTCCGGGGATCAGTGTTCCGGCTGCGTACGACAACAAGGGTGTTCCGGTTGGTATTTGTTTTAGTGGATTGAAAGGATCTGAGCCTACATTGATCGAAATCGGTTACGGATTCGAACAAGCAACAAAGGTCAGAAAGCTTCCCGCATTTCTACCTTGAAGCGGAAAGAAACTTGAAAGAGATGATATAATTACCATCCTTAATATCACGGAAATTTGTTTTGTAACGGTCCGTTTAGTATAGTAAAAGTAATTTATAAAATGAAAATTACTTATATACCCTTAATCATTAATTCTAACATGTGAACTAACAATGACTAGAGAATGATTTTGATTGGTCCAACGAGTTCACATAGTTAACGCCATTTTTTTGGTTAACAAATGATCCTCGTATGAAATGAAATTTTGAGTCACGGGTACAAGACCCTTCCGGAAATCCTGAACGTTCAGGTAGTTTTAGAGGCTGTTTGATAGTTGCTGAATGGTTTGATGCAAAATGATTAAGTTGTCATAATGATTAAGAGGCTCTCATATATAGTACAAAATGAAATATAATTGTTCGGTAATTGTTTACAATAGAATTATGGTGCTGAATGGTTAAGGGAGACACATAATACAAAATCATTCAGAGGGTTTTTGAACAATTAAGAGACCGACTTTTTTTTTTTTGTCAAACAAGATTCACCTCTTAACGATTCAGATATTGTCTCTCAATGAAGCTATTAAGAGAAAATAAACAACCCCTTAGTTTTATGTCTGATATATGTCTTAAAGTGTAATATTTGTTACGGGTTTTTATGATCATGAAATTTTTAAATGGTATATATTACAATGTTAATTTTTTTAAAGCGTGACTATTTTTTTAAAATGTATCGAGATTTTGTGACGATATCCTTGTTAAATGTGGTCGGTCTTGTGACATCAATAGTATAAGCTAAATTTAGAAAATGACATGATAACCAACCTCATCGAACCTTTTGATAGCGTACGCTTCACGGTGGCTACCAAAACCCGTCCATTATACACACATACAGACATATACATATAAGACAAAGTTATTTTCATGAGACATGTGAGATGACATTGGATGGTTTCTTTTATCTCGTTGAACCTTTACAGCAAAACACCGAACTTTCACAAGAACCGAACATCACATGGAAAACACAGCAAACCTTCACACAGTAAAAAGCCAAACCTTCGTAGAACGTCTCATGGTTCCACGTAATCTCTCTGACTCTACAGGAATATGTACATATACATATGCACACATCAAACGTTTATAGTGTATATTCAAGTCGGAGAACTTGAATTCAAACTGATTACGCTGTTTTCTAAGAGACTGATGTTGTTCGAGTTGACTCGGGAGCAAAATACGTCTTAGATAAAGTTTTATGGATCGAGTTTCTATTGGTGTTTAATTATTGTACACATGACATATGATATCATCGATATTTATTTAAAATATAATAACAGGAGATCGATATATTAAAGGGGGTGTTTGTGATTGCTTATTTGAAAAAACTTATGCTTTTCTACAAAAATCTTTATCAACTTATTATAAGTCATAATGGTCTAACTTATTCAAAAACTTCTTATTACCGGTTTGACAATGGTATAAACTGTTCACCCAAACACTCAAAAGTGTTTATTACCGGTATCACACCGAAATTAGTTAATAAGTTGTTTTTATAAGCAATATCAAACACCCCCTAAAATAATACAAGAATAACGACCCAAAACTACTTTTTTTTAATCAAATATTATTATTAATAAATAAGGAGAGTTGGTAACCAAACAACAAAGACGGTTTTCTTCTATATTGGTTGTGGTTTCATGTGTCCGTTGACCAACCTTAATCATGTATTTGACTTCCAACCAAATATTATATCATTTCCTTTAACAATTTTGATTGGTTTGTTGTATCTGATCTTGTAAAATTTGATATTTATTAACATGGGGTCTGCTAATTTTTGTTTTTTATATATTCTTTTTATTAGTTGTCTTAGGGGCCGTTTACCAAACATTTACCCGCTAAGCATATAGCGGTAAAATTCAACACTATCATTTACTTACCGGACAAGATTTTAGTCAACAGAAAACGGCTTTCTATGCAACAAATTACTCGGTAAGAGCTGACCACAGTAAGAGTTATAGCTCTCACTTACCGGGTAAGACTCTAGGTCCTTGCCTCGCTTTTACCGGGTAAGATTCATGGTCCTTTCCATGTTCATCCGATAAGGTAATGTAACTTGGTAAACGCTTACCCAAGTAAGCATTTGGTAAACGGCCCCTTACTTTAATGTTAAATGTAAAATAAATCAGTATTCTATATTACTAAAAGAGTTACGTCAACCCATATATGTAAAATGAACAAAAATGGTTTATTGAGCAATCTGTCTCGACTCGTTTTAACCCGGCTTCAAAACAAAATACAACCGAACGATTACTTGTTTGAGTGAAAATATAGTACATTTAGGTTAAAATGTATCAAAATGTAACGAAATTTGTCTTAGTTCTTATTTACTGTATCTGTTAATATAACAAACGGTTCAGTTGTTTCTGTTTCGTACTCATTTTACCTGATAAATAGGTTTTCGGTTTACGTGGCATCGATTATTTTGATGTGACGTTTCCTTGCGTAGCTAAGAATTATAATATAACTTGAATATTTCACATGTATGTCATCAGAAGTATAAGATCTAACAATTATCGATTATAATAATAGATACGACATAGAAAGACTAACGTTTGTTATTTTGACTGGGAAAACAAAATCGTCGTTATTACGTCAGATCTCGTTAAGTTTTGATGCATTTTGTCCAAAAATGTACAAAGGGTGTTTTATGACAACACTTGGAAAATACGAGGGGGTGAAGTATCATAAAGTGAAAATGCAAGGACCAGTTTTGATCGGGCCCAAGCAAATTTCATGACTCAGTTTTAGTTTATTAGCTGAACCACTCTTGAATATATGGAACCCACCAACCCCTACCCCTACTCCCTGGACCCTTGACCACTATAAATAAAAGAAACGGTGGAGCTCTAAAAACACAAAAACACACAATGGTTGCACCCATGGTCACTACTTTTCTGATGTTGTTCCTAGCCACTCGAGCCTGGGGTCAAACCACCGACGACGTGAGTTGGGCCAAACGGGTGGACACCGGTTCGCAAGTCGTCACCACGATGCAATTCTACTTCCATGATACCTTGAGTGGCAGCAATCCAAGTGCGATCAAGGTGGCTGGACCACAATCATCCGCCACCTCACCTGGTGGCGGATTCGGTCAAGTCATGATGATCGACGACCCGTTGACCGAGGGACCCGACAAGAAATCCAAGCTCATTGGACATGCCCGTGGGTTGTATGGTCAAGCGGCGCAAAACGAGCTTGGGTTGATTATGGTCTTAAATTATGGTTTCACTGATGGAATGTATAAAGATAGCTCGTTCAGTCTTTTGAGTTTGAACCCTGTTATGCAGACTGTTCGTGAGATGACAATAGTCGGTGGTACTGGACTTTTTCGACTGGCACGTGGGTATGCATTGGCTCAAACATATTGGATCGATGCTAGTACTGGCGATGCAATTGTAGGGTACAATGTTACGATTGCCACTTATATTTAAGTTAGCAATCTTTTTTTGTTGATGTTCGCTTTTAGTGTTAAGCGTATGCCAGATTCTTATTCAGATATATTTATGGTATATCAAAATGTGAAAAACGACACTACACTTTACTTCCTAATATGCGATGGATTTTGTTTAACTGTTCAATTTCATGTCATGATGAATATTATTATTACTTTCTTTGGTTCGGGTATATATATATATAGGGTTGGGTTCACGTGATACCAAAGGTTTTTCGTGAGACCCGTAAGACCAATTTATGGTCATTGATTAACTTTATAAGCTAATGATCTAATGGTCTAAAGTTGCACAGTGGCAATTTTGTGATTATTGAGAAGTCTCGTGGCGTTTATGAATATTCAGATCTGACGATTGTAGATCTAATTCAAGGTTTGAGAATTGGTCTTACGGGTCTCACAAAAAACCTTTAGTCTCACGTGATCCCAAGTCTCTCTCTCTATATATATCTATATATACATATATATATATATATAGAGAGAGAGAGAGGGGGGGGAGAGACGTTCAAATGAGAACAACTATCAAATAAGAGAACATGAAAACGGTTAATACAAAGATGTGCAGGCGACATGGCTCGTGACTTCAGCTTGCAGCCAAAGTCACTATGAAATTATGTTATCCAGTTTCTAAAATGTTTCATTCATGAAACCAATTTCATTAATAAAATCGTGTTACTCAGTTTTTAAAATGTTTTATTGACCGGACCATCTTTAGTTTCATTCATGAAATCAATTTCAGTTTTATTATGAAGTTATAGTGAGAAGCGTAAGGAAGTAATCTGAACCCTTGAACACTTTTAATCTCATTTTCACCCATGAATTGCGTTTTAGAAGCGAATTGATCATCTTGACGCATCTCATTAGTGTTGACATTCAATAATGATTGATCCAAGGGTGAAGATCTCTTCTTACACTTCTTACTGATATCTTCTTTTCTCACCGAAACTCAACCCTATAATATGAACTATTATTTTTGAACCTCTATACCATCACAATAATCACTATTTCAAATCACGTTCCTTAACGGAATTTCATACTTTAACAATTGTAACGCCATAATTTTGAAGTTACGTGCATTGCTAGTACGGACCAATTCCCTCCTATTGTTTATTGGGTTGATGACTTGTTTCTACTGGGTTTTTAGTCTATAATCAGTTCTAGTTGTGGTTGTGGTGCTTAGAGGTGGCCAAAAATGGGTCCTGGTCGAGCCCAAAACGGTTCCGGTCTTAAAATAGTGATCCCGTAACGGGTCCCGATCCAGACTCAAATACACAGTTAAGGTGTATGACCCGGTTATGAGAACCGGTCTCAGGCCAGGCCCAAACCACTCCTATGTAAAAAAAAATCAAAATTTGTTTTTTTATGTTTTATTAAAGGATACAAAAGTGTTATTATAATACACTTGAAAATGTAATTTGATCAATTAAATACACTTAAAAAAATATATTTTTTGGAAAATCAAGTGGTCTCGGGCCGGGCTCATAATCGGTCCCAAACCGGTCCCAGGCCGGGCTGATCCCAAGTCGATGCTGGTCCTAGTCTTTCACTAGTCCCGGGCCGGGTCAGGCCCATTTGGCCATCCCACTTAGTGATGGCCAAAAACCGGTTTCGGGCCGACCCGGGTCGGTCCCAAGATTTCTCATAACTGGCCATAACCGGTTCCGGCCGAAAAAGTTGAGCTCGGTCAAGCTTAATTGTAACCGGTTATGGGCTGCCGGTCCCGGTCAATAAAAAATAATTTTTTTATTTTTATTTTTTTAATGATATATACTTTTAATACATTATAAAATTTGTAATTTGCTCACTCAAATACACTTTAAAAATACGTTTTATTATAATTAAAATTACATTGTCTTACAAAATATAGCGAGAAACCGATAATTATGAACTTTTTTTGCGTTTTTTACGAATCGAGAACTTAGTATGTAAATCCCTCAATCAAGACACTTATATATAGTGTTTTGAAAGCAAAAAATTCAAAAAGGGCCAATTTTTTGAAAAATAACGGCTACATTTAAAAAAAATAGCTACGTTTTTTAAAAATCGGGCCGGACCGGTCCTTAACCGGTCCCGCAAAACACCCAAAATCCATAAACGGTCCCAGATTTCGGTCCTATAACCGGTCCCGGTCCTCCGGCGGTCCAGGGCCAGGCCGGTTTGGCAATCACTAATCCGACTGTGCTCCTGAAAGACTTTGGGCTAGTTCGTTTGGGCCTATGCTGCTGGATAACCAAACATTTGTAAATTCTGGTGGTGTCATTTTCAATCCAAACTTTGGTCATCATGTGATTAGCTATAGTTTTAATGTTAATTACAATTTTAATTGGGGAACTTTATTTCGGTATAGATGGGTTGAAACTTTGGTGATCAGATACAGTGATAAGGCCGTTACTATCCGTTTTTCCGAAGCATGTTTCGGGTCGACATTTAACTCTTCAAAAGGGTATGCGCTTTTAGTCTTTCTCGTTTTTTAAATAAAGTGCTAGATTGGCTTTATAGGACGCCTAGAATATCTAAGCATCATAATATAATACTTTACAGAACTTACATGTACAAGACCTAACTGTAAAGCATCCTATTTAAAAGTGTTATAGTAAGTTTACATGACGTTTTTGGACGTTTTAACGAGTTATCTTTGACTTTTTAAAACAAAGTGCTATATCAGTTTTTTCATAGGGCACTTTTAAGAACTGGTTTATAAACTTGAGAGGGATCCAAGTGATAGAATGCGGGCATAACAATTTGCCCTCTCTCATCCTTGCATTTCATAATATATGCAAGTTCATCCAAGCACCATGTAGAATCGACATAGTTTTCAAAGAATACAGTGACAACAATCCGTGACTCTTCAATGGCCTTCAATAGTGGATCGACGGTTTCACCCCTTGGAAGTGTTCTGTCATCCTTGTAAGTGTAGATTCTTTGTTGTACAAGAACCGAATAGAGATGATCCACAAAGGTCTTACGAGTGTCTGTTCCTCTAAAACTGAGAAAAACATCGTAATTCCATGATTCAAATGAAGACGATGGTGAAGATGCCATTGAAGAGTTGATTTGTTTAGAATTGGTACAAAAAAGTTGAAAAAGATAGATAGGTGGTTTGAGTAGATGATGGAAATGAAGGGTCCGGTTCCACCACCACCATTGTGTTAGGGTAGTTGTTTTTCCTGTTACAGCTTACGTTGTATTCTCGAGTCTTCTACGACTAAAAGTAGTTGCGAAAAGAAAAACTCGTGTTGTTAAGGCTTTTTAAAGGAAAAGAAATGAAAATGAAGGAAAATAATGTCGATTTTTTCACCTAAAACCTTCTTTTCAAATGTGGGAGGAAATCGAAGGAAAATAAAAAGTTTATAACAAATAAAAATATTTATGAAGTTACAGATTTACTCATAAATTGCAGTCTGCTGTAGAATAAAGAGTAAGCTTCAATTCTGGTCCTTAATGTTTAGTTAAAGGTCTGAAAATGAGATCTGAACTTTGATAAGTGTAGAAATCATCCTTCTGGTTCTCATTTTGCTCTGAAAGTGGTCACTAGTCACTGAACTCTCTTTATTGTCAATACATTATGCAATCTCCCAATGTTGCCTTTGATCTGTTCATTTCAATTCGCAGTGTTCTTTCATTTTATATCAGCACCGTTTATATAAGAACAACAGGGATATCAATTCTTTTCTATGGATGCTTTTCGGTACTTTTTAAGCAAATAAACTAGTACAATCTTTTGGTTCAAAGTCTGAAAAGGGGATATCATTTAAGAAAAGGGCTTTATTGTCATGAATTGTGACTGTTTCTCAGTAGAAGGACAAATTTCAAAGATTGATTCCAGGGAACAATCGAAATTGAAGGTTGAGCCTTTTTAAAAGGCTAAAATTTGACTTCACCTGACTATCTTTTCTTTCAATCAAGATGTTTCTTAACATCCATAACACGACAAGTTCTAGTAAGAAGAATCATACTTAACGACTTCCAATCAAGAAAACAAAGCATGGAGTCGTGCAAAATGCTGATTGGCTCAAAAGCCGACAAAATGCCGGTTTTTACACATCATTAATCAATTCGTGAAGTGTTGGCAAATAAGAACTCATTCATAAGTGAATAGCATCCTACTTGTTCTTAAAACTTTATTCAATAGTACATGAGGACTTCAATCACATATGAATAGCCATCTAGAAGGTCAAGAATTCACTAAAGTCATATAAAATATCTTGAAACCCAGTTTGTACTTTTGTTTGATTCCCGTTAATGGGTGGGTCTTATATTTAAGCATTATCTCAAAAGTGAGACGACATGTTCACATCCAACCACACATACTTTATCACATAACAATAATACATAGAAGACCAGACAATAAAGAAGACCAGCAAAAAAGGAACGATACAGTAACCTATTATGACCAGTATCTTCAGTTTTATTTTACTACAAAGAAGATGATCAAGATTATTTTCTCTATTAAATTGTTATTTTTTTTTTTGGGTTTTAATTCATTATGAAAAGGGTATTTTGGTACATTATTTAAAGCAACTTCAAACCAAAATCTAAATTTTCATAGAAAAACTTAGGGAATAGTATTCAAAGATGGTGGTCTCCCCACATGCACTAAAGTTTCAAACTTTTGAACTTGGGTGGTACCAAGTCTCCAAGAAAATGATGGATTTCACATACCCACTCCCTTATAATATTAGAGGGGATAATTAAATCAGAACTGTTTGTTTTGTTTATGATAACTGTGAGATTCAATTTCAATCACAAATCAAAGGTTAAATTAAGAAATTAATAATTATAATAATTTTAACTTAAAATATTAATTAAGGATATTTTAGGGATCTTATAAATATCTTCTTTCATCTCTCCGGTGAATCTTATTCGGCGAACTTATTCTGATGAATCTTATGTGAACACAAGATACCCACTGTGATACCCAGATATACATACAAGATGCACAATGTGATACCCTTTGTAAATCAATGAAAATAACGAAAATGCACAATATGATACATTTCATAAAACAAAGAAAGTATATTGTGATACACGTACAACATTGTGAACATCATCACTATGATACATTTTGATTCACAGATGTCTTTAAAATACGATGTATCTTAGATAATTGATATAATAGGTAACTAATTTTAATTAAATATTTTCTTCTAAAAAGTTTAATTAAATATTTTGATTAGTTGTCAAAAATAGAATTATTATATTACCTTTTTAGCTTATTTATATATCCTTAAATATCTCAAACGAATGGTTCACATTGGATCTCACAATTACCACAAACTAATCAGTTTTCTCTTGAATAGACCCCTAATATTATCTATCTATCTATATATATATATATATATATATATATATATAAGTAACCTTCACAGTGTTTTTGTTGTAAGTGTTCGGTTTTTTTACCTTCACAGCACTTTTCTGTGAAATTTCAAGTGTAAAAAAATGGTCTCACAGATCTCACGAAAACAGGTTGGCCTCACGTGAATCCAACCCCATATATATACATATATACATATATATATATATATATATATCATGTGAGACCAGCCTGTTTTCGTAAGACCCTGAGACCACATTTTTACACTTGAAACTTCATAGCAAAATACTGTGAATATGACTTTTTTTAACCTTCACAGTGTTTTTGCTGTAAAGTTTCAAGTGTAAAAATGTGGTCTCACGGGTCTCACGAAAACAGGTTGGTCTCACGTGAACTCTATCCTGTATATGTAAGAAAATTATGGATTGCACATACCCACTCCCTTCCTTTCATATATGTATAAATATTATACACAGAGAAAGGGGTAACTTTCATAGTGTTTTTGCTGTAAAGGTTCGGCTTGATTCTTTTTTATCTTCACAGCATTTTGCTGTAAAGTTTAAGTATAAAAAAATGGTCTCCCGGATCTCACGAAAACAGACTGATCTCACGTGAACCCAACCCTGTATATAAATAAAAATATGAATTGCACATACCTACTCCCTTCCTTTCATGTATATGTATGTATATATATATATATATATATATATATATATATATATATATAGTTTTCACGAATAACATCAAAGACACGAGTTCCGTTCTTCAAGTTTCAATCTTCTCATTCTTACGATTTCCATATTCTTGTAAACCGGAAGCTTTTACTTGATAACATCACGGCTTCTGACCCCCAAAATGAAGAGAGAAAGTAAGCTTCTGATATTATGCACCATTTTCATGGCTTTCCCATTGGTGCACAGCATTTCTGAAGGTCCAAAAGAAGTGCAACAATGGTTCAAAGAGCTGCCAATCAAGCAAGAAAAGGTCACCAAGCTACACTTCTATTTTCATGACACGACCACCGGACCAGCCCAAACCGCGCATCAAATAGCCGAATCCAACATCAGCTCGACCACGATCACCCAGTTTGGTCGAACCTTCATGTTCGACAACCCACTAACAGTCGAGCCAGATGTAAGGTCCGTGAGGATCGGTAAAGGCCAAGGGTTCTTTGGTGCGGCATCTTTTGAAGAGCCTCGGTTTCTTATGAACCTCAACTTTGTGTTCACAAGTGGGAGGTATAACGGTAGCACCCTCCAGTTTTTGGGCATGAACCCGATACTGCATCGGGTTCGTGAGATGTCTATTGTTGGTGGGACCGGTGCTTTCCGGCTAGCACGTGGGATTGCGACGGCTCAGACGTATTTTTTGAATGATACGTCGTCCATCGTGGAATATAATCTTGTTGTGGTTCATTATCGTTAAGCGGCTTGTCAACGATATGATTTTCTTCTTGATTTCTGATTTTGTTATCCGTTTTTATCATTTCATTCATCTTTTTGAAATATCTCTATTGATTTTAGTTACTTTGGCTGTTTGGCAATTGCTGAATGATTTGGTGCAGAATTATTAAGGGACCAGAATGATTAAGAGACTCTCATGATATAGTGCAAAATAAAATATAATTGTTTGGTAATTGTGTACAATAAAATTGGGGATCTTAATGGTTAAGGGAGATCCATGATACAAAATCATTTACAAGGTTTTAGAACCATTAAGAGGCAGATTTTTTTTCTCAAACAAGATTCACCTCTTAATGATTCAAATGTTGTCTCTTAATGAAACTATTAAGAGGTAAACAAATAACCCCAACTCATCATCAACAAGTAATAATTTCCAATTGCATAAAAATGGCGAACCTTGACGTTAGGTCTGAACCCGACACAAGAAAACTTGGGCCTAATAAGCCCTAGCCCGACCTCAAAACCCGATCGGGCCAACTTTTTATTCAAGGTAAGGTTAAAACCCAAAAAAGCCTCGGCCCAATCAAGCTAAGCTCTTTTCAACCCTGATTCAGCCCTCTTTTTAAGGCTTCGGGGTTGTTTAGTAGTACAGAATGATTAAGTGGTTAGAATGATTAAGAGACTCTCATGATATAATGTAAAATGAAATATAATTGTTTGATAATTGTTTACAATGAAATTAGGGCGTTGAATGATTAAGGGAAGCCCATGATGCAAAATCATTCAGAGGATTTTAGAACTATTAAGAGGCGGACTTTTTTTTTGTCAAACAAGATTCATCTCTTAATGATTCATAGATTGCCTCTTAATGGAACTATTAAGAGGTAAACAAACAACCCCTTCTTGTTTAGCCCTTCAACCTCTTTTAATATCTTTCCTAAATGCATTAAGCTTATCCACAATAACATCAATATCGATTTGGAATCATATGAGACCGTTATTTTTTTATTTATCATCCTTATCATATTAACACAAATAATTGTATATGAAAGAAAATGTATTTAAAAAATATGTTTGTTTTTTTATAAATTATATCATTATAATCGTCTTGTAAATATCTATATAAGCATTTTGACTTCTTAATGCTAAGGGGACGTTTACCAAAGGCTTTACCGGCAAACTTTAACATTATCACTTACTTACCGGGTAAGATTTTAGTCTACCAAAACGATATCGTATACAACAATTTACCCGGTAAGCATTGATCAGTGCAAGAGTTATCGCCCTCACTTACCTCACTTCGTTGATGTAATATGTATCCCAAAGTACCTATTTTCTATTTTCAAAATGGTGCAGGTTAACGAGGCCAAGTTGGCATTGCAATAAATTTGCTTAAATTCGGATTAATTTCAATATTCTATACATCATGTGTTTTTATATATTTTTATTTCAAATAAGGGATAGTTTGGTGCAGATTGATTAAGTGATCAGAATGATCAATATACTTTCATGATATAATGCAAAATGAAATATAATTGTTTGATAATTATTTACAATGAAATTAGAGCGTTGAATGGTTAAGTGAGGCACATAATACAAAATCATTCGGAGGGTTTCAGAACCATTAAGAGGCAGACTTTTTTTGGTCAAACAAGATTCACTTCTTAACGATTAAGAGACTGTCTCTTAATGAAATTATTAAGCGGTAAACAAACAACCCCTAAGTTTATCAAAAACACGTTTGATATTATGATAATTTTGAGTGACGAAGTCTTTTCATTCTTCAGTAACAAGGATGGGGAATCTCCAACAACTGCTATAAAGAAGTATTTGCAGACGGTGGTGGGAGGCGGGTGGAGGGTAGGTGTGGTGAACTGGGGATGAGGGAGACGACAGGGGCTCTTTTTTTAGGGGGGCGGAAGGGAGTTGGATATGGGGGCGACCGAAAGCTTGGAAGGGATGAGGGTTGATTAATTTAGATTGTATTGTTTTTATAAATGTAATCTAAACTTGTATCTATGCAATTTGAACTTGTAACAACAAATTTTTTTATTACCTGGATATTCAACCTGCTATGCAAGCCGACTAATCTCAAGGCAACCACCTGCTTTGCAGATAGCCCGGAGTCACCGCATTTGAACCTCCAGGGCCACAAGGGGATTTTTATTCCTCCTTGGATTTGGATTTGAACCTGGGACCTCCTGCTACTTTTGACTTTTGGAGCCAAGCTCAAACCAATCAAGCACCACCCTTATGGTTAAATTTTTTTAATAATAAATAGGTAAAATGACCAAGTTACCCTCACATGCTTATTTGCTTAGTTCATGGGATACTTAACAATCATTAGGGTCGAGGACTAATTTCCAAACAAAATGAAAACTACACAAGAAGAATTTGAAAATTTTAAAATAAAGGGATCAAAACTGAAGTTTTCACCAAACATTAGGGACGATTTTTGGAAAGAAAATAAATTCAATTGGTTATATTTGGGACAAGTGTGACGTGGCAATATAAAATTGGCAGAAAACATACTTCCAGTTCGAGGGAATCGTCTTCATTTGTACTTCTCCTGAACCCTAACCGGCGACGATTGCCGGAACTAAAACCTCCCACCACCGGTCATTACATAACTACGAAACGAGCAAACGAACAAAAACCTAGATGAAGTTTACAAGGAACGGGAAAACACCGCTCGGTTCCTAACATGGTGTCTTTCCTTTGCAATGCCCTCTCTCAAACCCACCAACTACAATCAAATTCAACGTTCTTGTGTGATTCAATCGCTACTCAAATTATGTTCTGAAGGACTGCTCACGGAAGCAGTGAAATCCCTTAACAATTTAGCAAGTAAAGGCCTGCGATTGGACACGAGATCTCTAGCTTTTCTCTTGCAAGCGTGTTCGAAATACAGATCGCTTAAAGAAGGAAAATGGGTTCATGTGCATATGAATTATACGGGTAGGAAAAGACCCGGTACGTTCTTGTCGAATCAATTGATTTATATGTATTCGGAATGTGGGGACTGGGTTGGTGCACGGAGGGTGTTTGATAAAATGTCCCTTAGAAATTTGTATTCTTGGAACAACATGCTTTCTGGGTATGCTAAGTTAAGGATGATGAAGCCAGCTCGGAGCTTGTTTGATCAAATGCAAGAGAAAGATGTCGTTTCTTGGAATACAATGGTTATCGGTTATGCACAAGATGGGAACTGTGGTGAAGCATTGAAGTTATATAAAGAGTTGACGATGTTGAACATCAGGTTAAATGAATTCAGTTTTTCTGGAGTTTTGACCGTTTGTGTGAAAACAAAAGAATTGGGACTCACAAGACAAGTTCATTGTCAGGTGTTTGGTATTGGTTTCTTGTCGAACTTGGTACTTTGTAGTTCGATGATCGATTGTTATGCAAAATGTGGGGAGATGAGTGATGCTAGAAAGTTGTTTGATGAAATGCCTAAAAGGGATGTTCTTGCTTGGACCACTATGGTTTCGGGATATGCAAAATGGGGCGACATGGAATTGGCCAGGGGGTTGTTTGATGACATGCCAGAAAAGAATCCCGTATCTTGGACTTCACTAATTTCTGGCTATTCAAGAAACTCATCTGGCCATGAGGCCCTCGAGTTGTTCACAGATATGATGGCTCGTGGGGTTAAACCAAATCAGTTCACTTTCAGCAGTGCTTTATGTGCTTGTGCTAGCGTTGCTTCAATCAAGAACGGTAAGCAAATCCATGCATTTTTAATTAGAACATGTTTCACACCAAACGCTATAGTAGTTAGCTCTCTCATCGACATGTATTCTAAGTGCGGAGATCTTGGACTTGGGCTGCTAGTTTTCAAACTTATGGGAAGTAAGCATCATGACACAATACTATGGAACACCATGATATCTGCCATGGCTCAACATGGCCATGGAGAAGCAGCAATTGAGCTGTTCTCCAACATGGTGAGAGCAAAAGTAAAACCAGATAGGATTACATTCGTTATAATTCTAAATGCATGTAGTCATTCGGGACTTGTGCAGGAGGGGCGACACTTCTTCAACACGCTGATGCATGAACATAATATTGTTCCTGATCACGAACATTATGCATGCTTAATTGATCTTTTGGGGAGAGCAGGATGTTTTGATGAAATGGTAAATGAGCTGAAAAAGATGCCATTTAAACCTGATGCTCGTGTCTGGAAAGCATTACTAGGGGTTTGTAGGATTCATGGAAACATAGAATTAGGAAGAAAAGTTGCTCAACGTTTTATTGAGTTGGAACCTCGATCTTCTGTAGGGTATGTGTTGCTTGCAGGTATATATGCAGCATCCGGGAGATGGGAATCTGTGGCAAAAGTGAGAAAGATTATGAACAAAAGAGATGTGAGGAAAGAACGAGGTGTTAGTTGGTTAGAAAACGAGAACAAGTTGCATTCTTTCATGGTATCAGACAAGTCTCACACTTCAAATGACGAAATTGAGTCGGTTTTGGAGATTTTAGCGACTCAAATGGAAGATGATGATGACTCCTTTCCTGATTCTTGAAGGTAATGTTTCTTAAACCCTTCTTTTAGATATGAAGAATGAGATTAATTGAATATATTTTTATCTATTAATTACAGATTGATTCAAAAGAAAATTTTGGGATAAGTTCATAGATAGGTAGCCTGCCCCGAGTTCGTGGTGCTTTCTTTTTGTTTATTATAAACGGTGCCACCCCTTTTTCTTCTATGTACTGTTGAAATCTTCATGAGATATTGTCAGAACGCTAGCAATGACTGTGGACATAAGGAAACTGTTAAACCGCATAAATACCATGTTTGATTTTTTGTTTCCTACAAGTATACAACTATTATTGTGCGTGCGTGTGTGTGACTGATGATCCTAACAGTAGGAGTAAAGAATGGTCTGCGTATATCTAACCCTGCTCCCTATGGAACTTTTTTTTTGAAGTATTAATATACGGCAAATAGAACAAATAAACCCACACACCCTCCTCACCTTTGGTTAGGTTTGAACCCATGACCAGGAGCCAGGAGGCTAAGGACTCACATACCGCTAGGCCAAGGCCCTTTGGTTACTCCCTATGGAACTTATTGGGTTTGTTTGTTTGGTTTTTTAAGTAGGCGGGTGAGCGCCCATGGGTATCCATGATTTGGTTGGCTGGTTCTTCACATGTGAATGGTGGTCCGAAGATAGATGTGTCAAGTAATCACATAAATAAGGAAATGGTGCAAGTGAATAAGTGCTTATCAGGGCTAGGTACGCTAAAAAGACACGAATGTACAAGTCTACTTAAAGATTGTTGGGATAAGTTTATAGATGAATAGCCTTCCCATTTTCGTGCTAAATAGCTCTTTCTGTGTTTGCCTGTAGGAATATATTTTCATGTAAAAACAAAATCCCTGCACGCACTTTGGCGCACCCTGCTTGCATATCCATGAAAGACCCAAGTAGGCATAGTCATGAAACAACCTCTCTACCCCTTGAGATAAAGGCAGGCAAGGTCTGCATGCATCCTACACGTCTGGACCCTCGCTCTATGTGGGATTTACCGGGCTTGTTTGGTTTGGTTTGATTTGGTTTTACTTTAGTAGGCATAGACAGGTCAAGATCCTATGAGTAACCATGACACACACCTCAAAGCACCCTTCTTGCATATGATACAAGATTCGGGTAGGCATAGACGGATCAAGATCCTATGAGTAACCACGATCACGCAAGAGGGAAAAGATGTGTTTATTAGTTTCGATTGTTTGTAACTGAACAGTTTCAAAAATAGATCTCGCAAGTAATCATATAAATAAGGAATAAAGTTCGTAAAAGAGCGAGGCGCTACTAAAAAGACTCGAATGCATAAGTATACTTTTAAGAGTTCATATGAAAAAGACAATAAGGTGCTTTCTGGTTCACACAGTTTTTTTGTAATGAATGAAATTTGTCGAAAAATTTGAAATCGCAATAAAATTTAATTAGGTTTGACCAAGTATTTGGCTTAACGATGAAGATCATAAAAATCCCCATTTAGAGCCACTTAATTGGCTGCCTAGGTGTTATGCATACCCACTGTTTTGATTAGCAACTAAGTGCTAAATGAAGTGATAATTGCTTTATAGACTCACGGGCCGTTTATCAAATGCTTACCAGGTAAGTGCTTATCGACAAAGACTCACCATCCTCACTTATTTTATCGGGTAACATTCTCGGTCATCGAAATGGATTGTTGGCAAGCGTCTCTCACCCGGTAAGCGCTTATCGACAAAGAGTCACCATCCTCACTTATTTTATCAGGTAACATTCTCGGTCATCGAAATGGATTGTTGGCAAGCGTCTCTTACCCGGTAAGCGCTAACCGGATAAGAGTCTTCTCCCTCACATACCGGGTAAGATTCTCAATCCTGGCTATGCCTCCTACCGTGTAAGTTTCTCTGTACTTGCTATGCTCACTCGGTAATGTAAGTGACACCAGGTAAGCGTTTGGTAAACAACTCCTTAGTTTTGTGTATCCGACGTTGCTAGGTCGGTGTTGTGTTCCCGTTTAATTCTTATTTCAGTGAAGGGGTTTGGCCTCGGATTGCCATGTAGGTCCCAAATCACTTCTGGAGAGGGTAAAATGTACACAACATTTATTACATCCAAAGAGTGGTTTGTTAGTCGTTCACAGAGGGTGTGTTTGGTGCACATACATTATTGGACAGGACAAGTGGACAAAACTTAGGTAAGCATGTGAAAGAATTACGGAAGGTTTTAGGGTTTTAATCTGACATGAGTAGTTTAGTAATTTATCAATCTTGTCTTATTTTCCTAATGATTTTTCCACCCATTTTGACGATACAAAAAATATACTTTGGTCCCACTCGACACTCATCATGTCTTGTCCTGACCTAAATATAGCATCAAATATGAGTTAACAAGTTTTTGTTTTGTTATGTCGGATTTAACACCGACCAAGATTATGAGTGCTGTCATCTAATTAAATCTTGGGTAACTTGGAAGAACGAGTATTCAAAGGACCATTGGACTTTTTATTTAAATACTGGAAACGAGTGTACTAACAACTTTGAAAACCAAAGAACATATCTTGACCCTCCATTTAGGGGTTGTTTATTTACCTCTTAATAGTTTCAATAAGAAGCAGATTCTGAATCGTTAAGAGGTGAATCTTGTTTGGCAAAAAAAAAAAAGTATGTCTATTAATGGTTCTAAAACCCTCTGAATGATTGTGTATTTGGGTTTCCCTTAACTATTAAGCCCCCTAATTTTTCATTGTAAACAATTACCAAATAATTATATTTCTTTTTGCATTATATTATGAAAGTCTTTAAATCATTTTAATCACTTAATCATTCTGCACCGAACCATTTAGCAATTGTCAAACAGCTCATTAATTTAATAAAAAATGAGATTGATGATCACAATAAAATAACAAATCATAAATTGATGATATTTTTTAATTAATAGCAGGTAATTTCATTACATATTTTTTCAAATTACAATTTAAGAAAACATTACGTTTAAAACTAATATTAAAAAGTTGTAATAAAACTTTAAATCAAACAAATTATATTAAAAAAACGAGTATTTTATTTATTTAATTCGGAAAAAAAAAAAAAAAAACAAGCCAACACTTTAGATGAGTTTCATATTGTCAGGAAATTCTCTCTTCTTGATACATGTTAATATTGTTATTACGTCTAGAATAATACCATGTGAATCAATATTGTGTTGTTTACATTCACATGTGAATAAATGTGATTGAACAAATTCACAAATTGTTTGCATATAAAGAATGACATAATTACAATTTTATGTATGATATTCACATATGAACACAACTTATTTTTTTGTTTTATTTTCTAATGATTAAGTTTATAGAGTTGGTTTCAAATACAACTCATTGTATTTGTACAACCAATGCAACTCAATAAATTAAAATATTTATAGAAATGATGAGAATTCATTTATTATGATTTAAAAATTTATGAAAGATGAATACAGTTCATTAATTATGATTAATACTTTATATTAGGAAACAATCAAAACTTCTATGAAATTACATATTCATCAAATTAAATGAACGGTTGAAATTGAGTTGTATAATAACCCACCTCTCACCTTATATTCATCAGTTAGTTTTTTATTGACCAAATCTCCTATTACTTTGGGAATTTGACATATTCCCCAATTGCCAACCATACATTTGAAAGCAATTAGAATTCATCTCCCAACCAATAATCCAATTTCAACCCCAACCTACAAAACAGAACTTCAACATCCACATTCCCTTGATCATATCATTATTCATATAATTAACAATTTTAAAATATATATAAATAAATAGATTGTAAATTACACCATTTGGGTTATAAAATGTATCATCTGTATGAACCAAATGGTTTTCATCCTCCTGTGGTTCTAGTAATGGGAGCTCAGTGGTCTAAACAAATCCAACGACGAAAAGCCGTCATTGCCGAGAAGAAACAATTACGGCAGCTCCAAGAACGATGCGGGTGCGAGTACCCCGGAAGCGACTGGCATCCGGCTGATCGGAAAAATTGGATGTCGGGCCTTGATCCGGAGAAAGTTCAGGTCAACAAGATCGTGTGGCCGGGGACTCACAATTCGGCCACCGACAAGATCGGGATCAAGATCATTACCCGCCCTTTCGCTCAATGCCAATATATATCAGTTTACCAACAGCTCGTACTCGGGGCTCGTGTCCTTGATATTCGGGTTGAGGAGAACGGGAATGTTTGTCATGGGATCTTGACCACGTACGGTGTTGATGTTGTTATAGAAGACGTCAAGAAGTTTATAGCGGAAACGAAGTCGGAAATCGTTATTCTCGAGATCCGGACCGAGTTCGGCCGCAAGGATCCACCAGCGTTCGAGAAATACTTGCAGGAACGGCTTGGAGAGTTGTTGATCCATCAAGATGATGATGTCTTTGAGAAAACAATAGCAGAAATCTTACCAAGAAGGATCATATGCGTTTGGAAGGCCCACGGATCATCGGAGGCAAAAGCGGGTAGCCCGCTTTGGAATTCAGGTCACTTGAAAGATAACTGGATCAATACCGACTTACCAGCTACAAAATTCGAGAGTAACCTAAAGTATCTGAGTAAGCAACCACCTGTTACTTCCCGGAAATATTTTTACAGGGTGGAGAATACCGTCACACCACAAGCAGATAACCCCGTGGTGTGCGTGAAGGCAGTTTCGGACCGGATTCACGGCTACGGAAGATTGTTTATCGCACAATGCTTTTCACAGAATTGTGACAATAAATTGCAGATATTTTCGATAGATTTCATAGATGAAGATTTTGTGGATGCTTGTGTTGGGCTTACCAAGGCAAGAATAGAAGGGAGGGCTTGAAAACCCGAGTCTTTTTGGTTCAATGACCTTCGGACAGGTTACAGGTTCTTTTTAAATCTATGATCTTACAGGTTTCGAGAATGCCATTGCTTAGATACCTATCAGAAGATCACGGATTTAAAAACACTTATCATGAGGTTATTTAGGTAAATAACCATTGAAAACTAGGTCCTTTGGTTAAGTGACCTTCTGACAGGGCCTTTTTTTCAAAGTCATGACCTTCGGGGACATGTTCTTTCAAACCCATGACCTTCTGACAAGTTTTTTTTTTCAAAATCATGTTTAGATATATAACCTTAAACGAGATTTTAATTAAATCCATGACCTATCTAACGAGTGTGAAACCGTGTTCCTTTTAATAAATATGAAGCTCATGAATTTAATTAAATTTTCATTTAAGGTTATATACCTAAATGACCCATTTTGAGAATGCCACTGCTTAACAGAAGAATATCTAGAAACCTGTCAGAAAGTCATTGATTTAAAAAACATTTGTCGGAAGGTCATTTAGCTAAACAACCCTTGAAAGAGAACTAAAAGATGACCAGAATACCGATGGCGAAGTCTGCGAAAAATCTAAAGCATCGGTGGGATCAACCATAACCAATGATTCAGGCTACCGGATGGTGTAAATGGTCAGAAAAGCTACCAGTTTTTCCTTCAGAAACATGGCAGCTGTTGCAAGATAAGCTAATATGGAAAGCAAAATGATGAAAATTCTTTCTGATGTATATATTAATCAAGAAAAAGTTGATATATGTAAGAAGATGATCGAAACAGGGGTCAAATGTTATGCATGATTTTTTGAGGTATGTGTAGAAACCTTTTCTGGGAAGAATTCTTTTCTCAAAGCATCCTCCAACTGCTGGAATATTGACGAAAGTAACCCTGCAAACAAAAGATGAACGGTTTTCATCAACCAAAACCGTTAAAAAAGGACTGGAAATATTTAAAAGGTTTATTAAAACAAGCTCGTAATGGTTATTTCAGGGGCTGTTTGTTCCCCACTTAAAAGGGTCTGAATGGGCTTGACATCTGAATCACTTGGAGGCATGTGTCTTTAGAAATTTGTCCGAATGCTTCTTAATGGATGAAACGCAAAGTCCACACGAGTTTTGATTCTTTTTGGACAAAATCACCCCTAACAAACTACCCCCTCCATCCAAAGATATGTCCACGATGAAAAAGACAGTTTTAGAAATGTGTAGGTAGTACACTTTTGAATTAACTAAATGACAATTTTACCATTAATAATAGAGATTAATGAATTTCTCTACCTTATAATTACAGGTAGAATTGGAAAATAGACACTTCGGGGCCGTTTACCAAGCGCTTACCGGATAAGTGCTTATTGGCATGAGACATCAACCTCACTTACCTTATCATGTAACATTCTTGGTCATCAAATGGATTGTTGGAAAGCGTCTTAAACCTCGTAAGCGCTTACCGCCTTTTCCCTCACTTGCCGGGTAAGACTCTTGGTCCTTGCTATGCCTCTTACCGGGTAAGATTATCGGTTGTTTCCATGCTCAATCGGTAAGGTAAGTGATACCAGTAAGTGCTTACCGATAAGTGTTTAGTAAACGACCCCTAACCTTTGATATAAAGCACTTATTTCGGGACAAACTAAAATACAAATGTGTCAGTATTATAATTTCTCTTTTGAGTAAAGAAAAAAGTAGAGACCTCCAATATACATGCTAGCACCATATGACTAAACCATGAGGCACTTCCATTACATTTATGTAAGGTTTACATATTAAGCTCACGGATAACAAGTTCTCAAACTTCAGGCCTACTTCTTGCTTTCTCTTCTCCTTCATATAACACGGGCTTGTTTGCACTGAAAAATAAAGATTTTGGGTATGTTTTTTCGCCTTTTTTCATGGTTATATATTTCATGTTTGTTAGGCAACTGTGGGAGGTAAATATTATTATTTCAAGTATCTAAATAATACATAATTCAAGAATGAGGGAAAACCTGGCAAAGAGCTTTCTCCCGGTTTCAAAGATCCTCTAACCAAAAGAGTGCCAGGAATCTGCTCAAAGACCTATAAAAGAAGGCAAAAAACATAACCACAAGCTTGTTCTTGCAACATACGACAATACAACTCGTAATTAATGAATAATACTCCCTCCGTTCAAAATAAGTACCCATGATTCTATTTTAGTTGTCTCAAAATAAGCGTCTACTTTCAAAAGTAAGTACCTACCTTCCAATTTTAACTTTAGCTATGAGACGGAGAAATTCATCGCTCCCTCTATTATTAAGGGTAAAATTGTCATTTAGTTAATAAAAAAGTGTAATAATTATACATTTCTAAAATCGTGTGCCTTTTCGTTGTGGACATTTTTTGGGACAGAAGGATCAGTATACTTACTGTTACGCGGATATGCAAATCATCTGAAGTGGAACTCAAACAAAGTGAACCACTAGATTCATCATCCCACTCGGTTTCCTTCAAAGTGCTAGAGTTGTTCTTCAGGATTTCTTTGCAGTGAGACATGGTTGCGCGTATCTGATTTCCATCGCGTTATTGTGTCAAATATATATATATATATATATATATATATAGAGAGAGAGAGAGAGAGATCTGGAGATAAGATAGATGGGGTTTCAATAAGAATAACAGTGTAAAACTACATGTAATTGAACATACATCAACATGGAATGAGGCAGCATTTGATTTACAAGATGCGCCACTCGCTTGGAAGAAGGATTCAACTGATTGGAGAACATGAAATGCACTGAACTGACGTTGGATTCCCTGAAGTAGAGAAAAGTATATGTTATTATTAATTCCAAAATTATTATTCAATAAAAATACAATATAACTACATACTATATGATAATAAAATTGATTAGCTATATATATTTGCATTCTGATATGATCATATCCATATTCACATCTGGTACAGTGGATACGAATATGAATAGCTTAAACTGAATACGGTTTTGAGTGGATATGCGGATTCTTGGATATCCATACAGAACCCTATTTTATTAGACTCTATACGTGCATAGTTAGAACAAGTAAGAACATACAGAAGTACGTAAAAATAAAGGGTTGGTGCATTTTAGAAAAGATATATTGACCTCAAGCATGAAAGTTAGGACATTCTTCGATGCCAAGTGAGATGATATTATCTTCTTGGTGGGAGGAACAAAAGACCATGCAATCCCCCACCGACATGTTTGACCTTGAACGAATTCGGTTGTCTTAACAACGGTAACTCCCACCTCTCGAAGTTTTGCTATCAAACTTTTCAAACTAGATTTCTTTCCAACCATTGAAGTGTACCACCTATAATACACACAAAAGTAGAAAATAACAAAATTTTCAAAAAATTTCAACTGGAAGCATTAGCTGGATTAAGAAAATAATATTCTGAAAAGTGTAGTACCTGAAGGACTGTTTAAGTTGAACGCTATCTTGAATAATCCGACAGATAAAGGCTTGTTCTCCTCCAGGGCAAACCATCTCCGCTGGGGTCCCACCACAAGAGGTGTTTGGATTAAGCCCCGATTCCTCCATTGTCTCAAAGAAAGGAGGATTACACATACAAAAGTCAAATTTCTCACCAGCTTTGACAACACCTAGAAGTATGGGAGGCCCATGGTAGTTTTTCTTCTCACCAGAACACAAGTCAACCGAGGATGAAGTTGAAAGCTCTGTATTTCTGCTCATACCCATACAACTTTCACCATTTTTTGTGTTTTGATCACTCAACTTCTCGTCAAAGTCAACTTTTCGAATCTCAATTAATTCAGAAATTTGTGGGTTGTTCTTAACATTCCTCTCGGCCCATTCTAGTGCTACATCTGTCACATCTGTTATTAGTTAAGAAACATTTGCAGCTATTAGAATTTCTATAACACGTTCAAGATTCTGACTGTTCGAATTCAGAAAAGAACCTAAAGTTACAAGAAATCAAAAAGTCAAGTACCTGTTCCAACGAAGCTCCAACCAAGAAGGGAAGCACCAAGGAGAGGGTAAATGCAATTAGCCCCAGTGCCAATATCAACTCCTTTTACAACATCCTTTTCTCTAGGAATGGTGTCTGATGATAAAAGGTCTTCTATCCAATGTATATAGTTAGATCTGTTGGGTACTGTGGGGCAGAGCTGTCCATCAGGGATCCACCTACATTTATAAGTTCAGATCATATCATTTGGCAATCTAACTACTTACAGCAGAACCATAGTAGTCATATACTCATATCTCACCTAGGTTTCTTAATTTGTATTGTTTATTGTCAATTTGATGTGTTATTGATTTTTCACAAAAGGTTAACAGTCCAGAAAGGAAAAAAAAAAGCAAAGGGCTATGAGTTTAAAAGCCAAAATGTATCTCCCTGTTGTTCTGGGATGATGGACTTGTACCTTCAACTAATCGTAGTTTTTTCCCCAATGGGTGTGTAACACAAGAATCTCCATATTATAAAGCTCTTTATCTTTCAAGATTATAAAAACTAACAACACTATTGGGCCCGAGGCGAGAAGGGTGTTCTTTATATCATTGCAGACTGCATAATCCCATTTAGCAAAAATAAAACTACTTATACAGAGTGCCTACAACAACAAATGTAGTACATTTCAGTACTTCCTCCATTAGAATTAGTATTTCTTGAATTATTGTTATTCTCTTTTCACATTCTTATTAACTAATACAAAGCAACCATTTTTTTTTTAAATTTACTTGAATCTAAAAAATGTTAATGCACAACTACGATAAATTAAAACTCGCTTCATTCAAAGTTGCAAATTCTGAGTTTAAAGAATTTGGCTACTAATCAAAAGTCTATAATAACCATCAATAAGAACAAGAAATGTTTTTGTATACCCGAATCGTATGGTGATGATGTAAATACTTAAACTATTTGTAGTGAAATCAAACATAATTATCGATATTTTCTAAAATTATATCTAATTCATGTCGAAATCGAGGTTAAACTCTGCAATCATCAACCACAAAATCCATACGAAATCCCCAATTCACAAAATTCCCACTAATACGAACATTGCAAAAACACATACATAAGCACAAATACGATAATAACATACCAGGTGAGGGAGTGGTCATGGAGTAGCAAAACCCTAGTGAGTTCACGAGTTGCATTGAAGTCTTTCCAGTCAATCCTTGGCTTACCTTCTCGAGAGTAGAAAACGTAAGATTGAAATGAAGGATAGAGAGACGCCAAAAGACCAAAGTCCGGCGGGTTGTCGGAGTATTTATTCCGGGGATGTATGCTCCTTTTCTCCTCCCCCCTCCTCCTCTTCTTCCCCATTTCGGTTGCTCCTTCTGTTGCCTTCCGATTCCGATTACGATTAATAGTCATTTTGGGCCCAACTACCCCTTTTCAAACAAGGCCCATATCTCTTTAAATTATCTATACTATATTATAAACCATTTGGCTAAAACTCTTAAAAACTCTTAAAAACTCTTAAACTCGTTCATCCTTATCCGATTTCATCCCATATCTGAATTCGTGTAATTAACTGCAAATAAACA